AAAACATGAATTATTTAAAGAGAGATTTCCTGAATTTGCAGCTGCGGAAATTAATCTAAAAGTTTTCAGATTTTAATTTAACGTATTTTACATTTTCACTTTTTTCATTATTTTGATTTTTATTTTTTATTTTAACATTTTTAAATTAGCTATCTTTTTTCTTCATTTTAACGATTTTATATATTGTCATTACTTTATTTTTTCAAGTTTATATGAATTTTTATAAGATTTATCAATTTCTTAATTGAGAAAAGTGTCAAATTGGCCCTCCTACTTTGTACGAAAAGTCAATTATGCCCCCGTACTTTAAATTTCTTCAATTAAGTCCTCCTACTTTGAAAATTTTGTCAAATCTGATTTTTAGCAGGTAACCTACTAGTCAGCAGGTTACCTGCTGACGTGGCGCACAAGTGGCCTGAGTGCCTGACACGGCACACACGTGGCAGACCACGTCACTTTTTTATTTTCTTTTTCATTTTACTTTTTTTTTTCTTTTTTTTTGTTTTTTTTTCTTTCCTTCCCCCATTTCTCCTTTCGCAAGTCACCTTCTTCCTCAAAACCTGCAAACCGTCCATGGAATCTTGCTGCCACCTTCTTTCTTCTTCCTTTAATTCTCTTTCTCGTTCCCCTTTCTTCCTTTCTCCATCAACGACCGGCAAGGGAAAAAGATTAGTGTTTATTTGGAGATTAATTTTTGCTCATAACTCCAATGTGGCTTGTTTTTGTTTTTATTTTGGACCCCAGATTGGAGTTCTATGGAAAGGGACGACACTCCATATCAATTTTGAGGAGCTCAAACGAGTTCTTGGGGCTGGTGTGTAGTTCGCCGACGCTTCTCTTTTTCGGACTACTCCGGCATGTTTTCTCGGCGGTTTTAGGGCTTTGCACAAAAAATAGAATACGCAGTGGAGGTCGTCATGAACCGGGGCATCTCCTCATATTTTTAGGGTATGTTTGGGAGTTGGGTTTTGGAGGGAAGAGGACGATTAACAAGGGTTTATGATCCTCCAATTCATGTTTGGGAGTTATAAAATATGGAGGGAATGATTTTGGAGGGCTTTTATAACCCTCCAAAACCCTTCAAATGTTCAATTTTCAAGTTCCCCAAATTGGGGGATTTTGAAGGATAACTAATTAAATGATAACTTTAGCTCAATTTTAAATAAATATAAACTCAATTATTTGAATTCGTCACATATGTGAAGTGATATTAATTATAATTTATCCAAAACCTTTATCTTTTCAAACTTGATACTCCCAAACAAGGAGGGTTTTCAACGCTTTCCCTCCCCTTCCCTTCCTATTAGTAACCTTCAAAACCTTCACCTCCCATTCCCTTCAAACTCCCAAACAAACCCTTAGTTTAATTTTCCGAGCATCCTTCATTTTGGCTACTTTCGTTCACCGGCGACATCACTGCTGCAAAGAAGAAGAAGAAAGGTCACCTGGGAAAGAAAAGAAAGAAGAAAGGAAAAAGAAGAAAAAGAAAATAAAAAAGTGACATGGGCTGCCACATGTGTGCCATGTTAGGCCATGTGTGTGCCACGTCAGCAGGTAACCTGCTGACCGGTAGGTTACCTGCTAAAAATCAGATTTGACGAAATTTTCAAATTAGGAAGACTTAATTGAAGAAATTTAAAGTACGAGGGCATAATTGACTTTCCGTACAAAGTAGAAGCACCAATTTGAGTGACTTGAGTGACTATGTTTCCAAAGTAAGCATACTCATATGATACTTTTTTTAATAAGGGAGTTTAGATGATAGATTTGAAAAAATAGAAGGGTCTCTTGGATCCTTTTCTCTCTCTTTTTTTAATATTAATAACTATGGAGGAAGAGGTGGGATAAATAATAGTGTTTTTTCATCTAATATTAGTATTATTCACTATTATTATCATTATAACAATTATTATTGTTATTATTATTATTATTATTATTATTACTATTAGAAAAATGACAAATGTACGCCTAAAATAAATGTAATTTAAAAAAGTGATTTTTATACTTTAGTGACTAAATTATAAAGTTATATTACCGTGATTGACATGCATACGTTAAACTTACATGACTGCATTTAAAAAACATTTATTAAAATCAAAACTTACATGCTCTTGGATGACCAAATATCTTCTGATCTTTCAAATCAGCTATCAAATTGTTTAGCTTTATCTTAAAGACTCCGTGTAACCAAATCAGGCCGATCCTCTGGTCTCACTCCTTCCTTTTTTACTTCTCTCTATATTTATGGCCATCTGGGATTGCATGTAAATGTGATGAATAAATCCGGGTTTCCGAATTGTGTAACTAACACCATAGCATCTTGGTAATTTTGTATCATATACCTAGCACCTCCTGTGAATGATGACGGTAAAATGATCCTTTTGCCTTGAGTTTGTGGATTTGTTTCACCTCTTACAACCGCATCCGTCAACCCATTATAATCATCCGCTCTTAGCTTTTTTTGATTTAGTCGAACATACTTCAAACAATCACTTTCTATCATCATATAAGCATCAACAATAAATTGATGAAATAGTCTCCTTAATGATAGAATTATACTGAATTCAACATCTCTTTGTTGAACGTATAGGCAAAGAGTTCTCTCATTGTCACATCTTTTCGTTTAATAGCATCTCTACCTTCAACTTGTATATAGTTGATCTCTAATCTATACCCATCTTCTCCATATGGAAATAGTATGGAATATTGCAAAGCCAAATATGAAGGGTGGAGCTCATTATACGTTGCAAAGAACGATCTTTGTGCTCTAAAATTATATCACGATGAGAAGACATACTATTCAGATGCAGTGGGCAAATTATATGTTCTTCTATCTCTTTCACGGTTAGAAAGTAATCTGATTTTGAATTCTGTCTGTGGCGCTTCTTTGAATCTATCCCTTGCAGAACGAAAGCACTTTGCTAACTCATTGTGCTGATCCAACATATCCTTCAGGCCAAGAACTATCTTTGGATCCAAATCATTCGACGATTCGGATGTCCTGAATTTACACTACTAGAAAAAGCACGTTTTGCAACGGAACCATGCAACAGACTCATATCTGTTGCAATAATGCAACTATATTTGCAACGAAATATGATGTAGTTGCAGTATAGCAATGGATATTGCAATGAAAAATAAATTCCTTGCAAATGTGGTCAAGAAAGGGAGGGAAAATATGTTACAACAGATTTTGCAATGGGAATAAATTACTCTTGCAATAATTGCAAGAGAAATTGCAATGCCCTATCAGTTTGTTGCATAGTTATAGATTTGCAATAGATTTGCAACGGATAAATCGACCATTGCAAATACTCACTTGCAACGAGTTTGTACCGCAACGACAATTTGCAACAGAGTCAAATCCATTGCAATTTTTTTTTGAAAAAATATTATTTTTTTTGTTAAAAAATATATGGTCTCTTTGTATTTATAGGAGAAAAATTAGCTACTGTCATTTAAAAATTAAGAGCCTGTTTGGTGAGTATGTTTTTCGGCTTATCAAGTTTATCGGTTAACCTTTTTCACCAAGCACATAAATTTTAATTTCTCGCGCTGAAGTTACGGTAGATGATCATTTTATTGAATAACATCATTTAATTAATAATATATATTCAAATATAATTTCTATATAAATAAGTAGAATCAGTCAATCCAATCACTTTAGTCAGAACTTTACAAGTTTCAACACCGATTCGGTCGATTTTGATATTACGAAACATGCTCTAAATTAAATACATAAAAAAAGATAAATAACATAATTGAACTTTTATTGTTTAAAAAATAGGAAAAATTGATTATAATAATCTCAACTATTGGCGGTCCGCTCATAATAATCCTAACTATCAATTATTTCAGAATAATCCCAACTTTAGGGACCTTGCGCCAATAATGGTCCGACGTGATCGACTATAAACAAGTTCATATAGTTTCTAAAGAGATATAGCAGGTAATCCCTATAAATATTCCTAACTTTCAATTTTACGCTTAATTTCTATTAAAAATTCACCTGTTATAGTAGGTAATATGCGGTCATAGACCATTCTTGGCGGATGGTCCATATAGATGGGATTATATAAAAATAATCAATATTTGGGATTATTGTTAGCGGACTGACAATAGTTGGGATTATGATTTTCAATTTTTCCTAAAACATATCAATTAAATACATAAAAAAGATTAATACTCCGTACTACGTAATTGCACTTTTATTGTTTAAAAAATTCAATAGCGACGTAGCGGGAAGTGAAATATACTACCGCAAGGTCTCTAACTTTCCAAATTTTTTTCCCTCTTGAGCCCTAGTTAGTGTAGCCCGTCTCTACTTTGGACTCCAACCAAAGCCTTTTTACCGCATCTCCTTCTCCGTCTCTGCAATTTCCAGTCAAGCGGCAGTTTTGAATTTCACCGCAAATCAGAATTATCGTCTCCGCAGCGCTCTGTTTCACGCTATCAAGTAAGGTTTTCTTCTGTGTTTGAGTTAAACTATTATAGATATATGCTTGAAGATTTTCGCACCCCAGCCTGAGTCGATGCAATTGAAAAAAAATGGAATGGTTTAGATTAGGAATAAAGTACGATCTATTGTTTAGATCATTATAATTAGGAATGGTTTCTCCTTTATTGCTTCTCTCCTTCCATATTCAATTTTGGGTTCTGGGTAGAGGTTGCGGCTACAAATGGGGTCTTGCGGTTAGCAGAAGTCGTTGACCTGCGGCAACGGTGATTTCAATTAGTGAGCCATATTTTTTACTTCTAAATATTCTGCCAGTTTTCCCACCTCATTTGTCATATGCTTCTGCTCCAGACTTCTAAAGGACTCTTTCTCCCCTTCCCATCTTTTGTGAAGCCTCAAGTTTCAACTAACAACCTACCATCGATCAGCCCTTTTTCAATCTTTCCACCACCAGCCAACTCGAGGTAATCCTTCTTGACTTCACAGATCAAAACACCAGACAGATCCCACCCCAAAACACAACTTATACACAATCAATTATTATCATGGGGACATTGGGGAGGATGTATAGAAGACTATTGATGAACATTGTAATATACTATGTACAAATATAGTCAATCTTCATCACCAGACAGATCTCCCCAACGAACATTATGCTTTGCAGCAAGATAGTAGGTCCCAACAGGACCCCTGCTGCCATATGGATACATCTCAAGTCCAATCTTCTTCTCTTCCATTTCTTTTAATAAAGGTGTAAACAACGCCCAAGCAGCATCCAGCTCATCACTTCTTATGAACAGCCTGTGCTCTCCTTCTATCGCGTCCAACAGCAGCCTCTCATATGCATCTGGTATTTCACTCCGATGCCTTTAAAAAAAATATGACAGTTCAGTAATGAAGTCTATCATGTTATTGCTTTGGTTGGGCAAATAGATAAATGGTAAAGAATTCAGTAGGCAAAAAAGAAGTATGAGAGGGGAAGATGACTAGGATTTTAGTGTTTAGATTCAAAAAATTTAAAAAAGAAACATTAAAAGATAAAAAATAGTTGACATTTGTTGTAGACTTGTTTGTCCCATACTTTAGGTAGATATTGTTATGTAGAGAAAAACATTCAGTCTCATAAAATGGTAATGGTTCCAGAATTTATTTGCTTCCCAACTTTTCTCTGTTTTTGGACAGATTTTAAGGCAGGTCTCACATGGAATTTTCTCCACCTTTTTTTCTCCATGCAAACAACAAAAAGTTTGAGTTTCTCCCCCATTTATTTCTTACCTAATTCTTTACTCCCAAAGTTATATTGTACAAGAAAAAGCTACATGATAACTCAAGAAGATGTGCTTAGATAAAGAAAATTAAGTCCCCCATGATAATTTAGTTTTTCCCCAAATAAAGTGGTAAAGAAAATTGAAAAAAAAATGTTACTTTGCTTTGTATAAAAGATTAAGGTCACTTCGGTCAAGTCTCATCCCTAGACCGGGAATCTTGTTGTTGATTTTCAAGTAAATGGCTTCATCTGGTTGTAAGCGAAGCACCAACTCATTTGTTGCTTTGTCCAAATCAGTTCCAAAGTTTTTCTTGAACAAATTTCTAGGCACGTGTCTGAATTGAACCCTGATCTATGCTCTGCATTTTCACAAGAACAAGAAAGAATGCATGTGAATATTTTCCCCGATTTTAAAAAAATGTAAAGTTAATTTCTACATACCGCTTAGTGTGCAGTGCTTTTCCAGCTTTCATAAGGAAAGGAACCCCATCCCAGCGGGCGTTATTAATGAATAAAGCTAAAGCAGCAAAGGTTGGGGTAATACTGTCTTTGGGCACAGTTGGGTCGTCTGTATATCCTGGATAGGACTTTATACCCTTGTTATGCCCTTTATACTGCCCTATAATCACATCTTCAAGCTGCAATGGTCTCATCGACCTTAAGACTTTCACCTGGGGTATGTTTGGAACATGTGAAAATGCAAAGTGAAATTAGTTCTTTTTAATGTTTGGCTTTAACTAGGATATGCAAGGGGCAATGAAATACCATTATTTATTTTCCATATATTTATAATGCTTAGAAAATATCATAGAAAATAAAAAAAAATTGAAAAAGTATTTAAGATAAATTTCGGGGAAAATATTCACTAGCTTATATTTTTTCTTTCCTTCCAACTATCCGCTTACTTTTTCTCTATATTCCTAGAGAAATTATGAGAACAATTTGTTTCTCCGAAATTCAAGCCATCTATGATTGTAAACTTCATGAACTTTATATCTATTGCATAAGAAGGAATGGATAAGAACAGAGATAATATATGTACGAGGACAAGATATGTATTCATTAAGGATAAAGAGTTATATGTGAATGGGTAAAGAGTTTGAAGTTCCCAGATGGGTATGTTTCAAATCTTGGAAGATGTGTTGATATGAGCAAGCATAAATTATTTGGCATGAAGAGTCATGATTGTCATGTTTTTATGCAAAGGCTAATGTCAATTGCTTTTCGAGAGATGTTGCCAATTAAGGTATGGGAAGCACTAACTGAGCTCAGTCTTTTCTTCAAGAACTTAACTGCAACAACAATTAAAGTTGATGACATGGCTAGATTAGAAGCTGAAATTCCAATAATTCTTTGTAAGCTGGAGAGTCTACTTGTGCCTGGGTTTTTTAATCCGATGGAGCATCTACCTGTGCATTTGCCTTACGAAGCTAAGATCGGTGGCCCAGCACAATACTGATGGATGTATCATTTTGAAAGGTAATATTTATGATGCTTGATAAAAACATTAATTCCTCATTCTGTTTTAATACCTAAGATGTTAATTTCTATGCTAATTTCTTTTTAGATATCTACATGAGTTGAAAAAGGATGTGAAAAATAAAGCTAAAGTTGAAGGATCGATTTGCAATGCCTTCTTAGTTCGCGAAGCGTCTAGTTTTTGTTCTCATTACTTCGAACCACATGTTTATACTCGAAACCGTAAGGTTCCACGAAATGATGATGGGGGAGGGTGTGAAGACATCACAGATACTTTGTCAATCTTTAAGCAGCTTGGCCGTTTTAGTGGAAAAGTGAAGAAAAGAAGGTTGACCAAAGAGGAATACTCAGCTGCATATATTTACATATTGCTTAATTGTGAGGAGGTGCAACCTTTCATTGAGTAAGATTCAATTCAAACTCAAAATATATTATATTAGATTTCAATGTTTTAAATTTTAATAATATTTCTTTAATGATTAATAGGAAGTATGAGCAATTCTTGAAGGAATTTAGTCCTGATATAAGTGAAGAAAGTCTCGCAACTCAAGTGGAGCAACACTTTGCTTCTTGGTTTGAAGCTTATGTAAGAGTTTGAATTAAAAAAGTTATAAACTTATTTTTTAAATTATTACTATATTATCTCATATTGTATTCCTTATATCATAGGCCCGCAAAAACGAAATTGGAAATACATATATATATATATATGATTTGTCTAGAAGACCACTGGCAACAGTGAAATCATATCCCGTGTATTTCATAAATGGGTATAAGTTTCACACAGAAGTATATGGTGTTAATAGATCGACAATGAACTATGACATTTGTATAACTGGAGCATATGGTGACTACTATGGAAAGTTGTTGGAAATACTAGAAGTTGAGTACCCAGCTTTGCCACTGAAACGTACTGTGTTGTTTAAATGTGAATGGTATGATCTCACTCCTAACATTGGAGTAAAAGTTCACAAACAATACAATTTGGTGGAACTCAATCAAAGGAGAAGGTTCAATAAGTTTGAGCCATTTATTTTAGCAACGCAAGCTTCTCAAGTTAGTTTTGTGTCTTATCCTACCACAAAACGAGGCAAATCGGATTGGCTTGCTGTATGTAAAATTAAACCAAGAGGGTGGATTGATAACTCGGTTACAGAAGCTGGTCACTCAAATGTGATTCTACTGTTGGATTGGCTTGGCTTGCCCTAATGTTGTTAAGAAACTTTGCACTTCTTCTATCACTGCCTTTGAGGAGGTTTAAAAGAAAATCAGGTGGTTGTTGTAATAAAGGTAACTGAACCCGCCCTTGTTGACAACACATTGAAAATTTAGGATTGATGGTGTTGACTTTTGGCGAAAGTCTTTCTCCATACCACATTTTGGAGTAGCAAAATTGACATGTGCGGTCCATAGGTCCAATATCAAGATATCCTATGCAAATATGCACATTTATTTTAACTAATGTGGAATATATGTTAATTACCTTGATAAAGTGTGTTTATGCGGGAGTTAACAAATCACAGTGCATAAAATATGAATTAAATTCATAAGATTGAGATAAATGTTCACTATACCGGGAAAGCTCATAACATTTGGCTGTGAATGTTGCGGTTACAATAAGAATTGATTTGGGATCTATAATGATTTGGCTGTGAATGCTCTTGGCAAAATATATCTATAATGATTTTGTCGAACTGCAAAAATGTGATATCCATTTAGTAAAAAAACAAACAATTAAATGCTATAAGTAATTAAGTACTAATTATTTAAAATTTCTGATGATCTTACGATTGGAACTAATATTTGAATCATAAAATTGATTTTTCAAAAAAAATGGAATTGCTCTAACAGGATTCCCGTTAGACAGACATGATACAAACGCTGCCAGCTAAATATATTTCAGAAGAGGTGATATTGAATAAGTTTTATCAATCAATCATAATATTGATATAATTATATTATATAGATAAAAATATCAACTTTGATAACTACGGAAAAAAAGAGATTTTCTATGAGTCTGTTTGGTGACCCTTTTTTTTGGCTTCTTAGGCTTATCAGCCATCTTTTTCACCGCACACTTAATTTTTGGTTTCACGTCCTGATTCTGTTAATTCATAAAAAATTATATTTAAAATATTTGTTATTAATAATTGTATAAAAATTATATGAAAAAATAGCTAAAATGATCCTCTACATTAACTTCAGCTAATACAACAACTTCAACCGGAACTTCATAAATTTCAGCAGAATCAGCCAATTCAGCCAATTTTAATGTTACCAATGGGCTCTATAATTTTGAAGTTTTGATAACTACTGAGTATTACTACAGTGCAATCATAAGTTTTTTATTTGAAAAGCAATCATACGTTTTTTAAAAGCAATCATATGTTTAAACAAATACAAAGTATCTACTCCTTAATAAATTAAGTATATTTATCTACTTTCCTTTTGCAGACACTTTCTAGGACTTTTTCATTTTGCCGACAAGGGAGTTTCAATTTGCCGATACACAGAAGATCAACGAATCGTGCCAACACCTCCTACTTTTTTTATTCTGCGAGAGTGAGAGATTAAGGAAGAGGAGCGATGTAGGGGAATATGGTGACGGTGAACGGCGAATTGCTCCAAATTCTTATCGACTATTCAACATCAAGGTATGCCGTTTTTGTTAACTTATTGAGGTTAAGTTTATGACTAATTTTCATGTAATTAAGCGATTGTGTATCTTCTCCAACTATAACATATGCACACAGTAAAATGCTATGAAAGAATTTCATGACCTTGTGTTGAAATTTGGTGTTGTCGACTCATCCCTGTAGATGAGCAATTGGCCCCTATAAAGGTGAATTTATTTAGAAATTAGTAACTGCAAATCGTGGTAATCTGAAATAAGTGTAATTTTCTGCGAAAATTAAATGGCAAATAATGAATTTGTGCTTACTTTGTTCGTTCGCATTACTTGATTCAACATCTTCATTCCTCTTGCGTTTTCTCTTTCCTCTCTCCATAACAACGTCGGTGAATAGGCTGTTATGTACATTGAAAAGGTAGGGGGCAACACATTTACTTCGATGGTATGTTGGTTGTCGTTGTGTAACTGATATAGTATGAGAGTCTTAGCGACCGAGGGAACTTTGTTGGGCATTTGATAGTTATCCTCATTAATTTTAAACTCATCAATACCAAAAATATTGGTGTTCATAATTGATAGGAGTTGTTTATAATTATTAATAAAAGCTTTTTCTTCAGTCTCCATATTAATTCGGACGTAGTAATAAAATATTTACCAAGAAATGATTGGCCGGATTGCTGATTCCATGTGTGTTGTTGTTTATGTAATGTGAATTTAAAAAATATATTTTCCATGTTTTCAGATCTCAAACATTGCTAAAATCCTTCGTTAAAAAATAGGGACAAACAGAATAGGAGATGATTTTTTCACTTGTCATTCAATAGCAATTTTTTTTGTTTAATAAAACTTTAGATATGCATTTATTCAATAGCTGTTTTGTTTTGTTTGGTTTGGTTTGGTTGTTGATAGGCATATTTAGATCTGCGTTTTTCCTTCGGTTCTTCTTGTGGCTAAGTGTTCCTTCTCCCAGGCAATAAGTTTTTTTTAGCTATGGAGTTTCTTTTTTTTACTTTCCGCGGCCATGTGCTGCTACATATCCGTCCATTCATCTTGCTAGCCGCTTTCCTAATCTTCTACTCACGTTTTTAATATAAGAATAGACTACTTGATCTTCTCTCCTTATTATTCCTCTTTGCTATGTTTCTCTTTTGGTTTTGTGTGTTTTTAGAAAAGAAGCCATTCAGAAATTCCACTGTATGAAGTCTAGTTGTTAACAAACTCTTATATAAGTTAAGGAAAATAAATAATAACTCACTTGGTGAACTCAAGAGCATATCCTATTGATACCATTTAAAGAGCAAAACTTTCCAACAGGTAAATATTTAACTTCATCCACAAAGCACAAACAAATTCAGAATAAGTCATTTTGACGGGGAAAAAATCCACTGCTTAGGGATCTAATTCAGATGTGTCATCAAACATAAATGTATCATTCAAGTTTCTTAGTTATATTGCATCTGGAGTAAGATTGTAGAAAGTACTCCCTACATTCTTAAACAATCATTCATTGAAGTAAACGATGTGATTTTAAGTTCATAATTAAGTATGTTATAAAATGACAACCACACCCAAATTAATTTGTAGGTATTGAAGCACAAAAGAGATAAAAAAAATGTGAGACAACTTAGTCATTTTGTTGAGAAATAATGAGAAAGTAACACAACACAATAAAAATACGATAAATGTTGATGCTAAGATGTAAATAACTTAAATGTGAGAAGTAATTCAGCTAAAGTATGATTCATTAACATAATTATTATGCTAAAGCTTTAAGTTTCTTTCGAGTCTGTCCTTCCTCATCATCCTCATCGTATTCTTTCACTTGTTCTTGAATTTGTCCTTCCTGCCAAACATCAAAGAGTAAAACATGTAAATATTTCAGTGTATATATGTGTGTGTGTGTGAAATGTATAAAGTTTCATTAAAGTATTAATTTTATAGTTATATACCTCAGTGTTTTCTGCCAAAGTAAGTAAGATTGATGAGCTTTGAGTGAGGGTCGAAACGGCAAAACAACGACTTGTATACCCATTAGGAGGTGTTGTCTTCACAATAAATGCTACTTCTTTCCCTTCTAAGGATAAAAAATCATCTGGGAATGCGTCTCCTTTGTCCTCCTGTTGAAAAATGTACAATAGATTTTATTTGTGAATATTTGAATTACTTAAATTATGAGTTGTGGATAACTATGTATATAACAATATCAGCATTTATATGGGTACCATATTTCTGAACAGGTCAGCGCTAGATAGACCAATGAGTTGGGTTCCTTCTTTTTTGAAAACCATAAAGTATGTGACACCAGAAGAGTCTTGAACCCTCACTTTGAGCTTATATCTAGTGAGTAATATACATTTGATTTTAATTTATATGCATTATTAGCACGATAATTGATTAGCATAATTAACTTCAAAATAAGAGAAAAGGTTCAACATTTTACCTCTTGCAAATCTTGATAGAATCTTCATTGCAATGATCACATTTAAACTTGCCATCAACTAAACGTACATTAGAGACACATTTAGGGCATGCATTAAAGAACCAACCTTTATCTATTGAGACTCCTAATATAGTACCAACCACAAGGTGCTTTCCTATCTGTAGAAATACACAACTATAGTATCTTAAACAATATTCAGATAGATTAATCTAAATTTTTGTAATAAAGTTTTGTTGCATTAGTAGTGTATAGTGGTAATTATTTACCTCTTCAATCTCAAGCAATTGGTTGATTGGTATTTTGTGATACCGGTGAAGAAAAATGTCCTCTTCAGATTTGGGAGGGTCATTGCTTTGTATTAACCTCTCTGTTACTTTTGGAAATAATTTCTCAATTCTTAAAACAAAAATAAACTTATGATCAGTATACACACATGTGAGTTATAGATATTAAAATGTTCTTTTAATACCTGTCACCAAATTGTGAAATCACTTCGCCGTCCTCTCTAAACTGAATTCTAGAGGCGTTAAACCAACTGGAAACTGAAATCTCGTCTATAAAAAGTTGTTTTAGAATCAGTAATTATATTTTTGCACATGGATTAAAAATTATACTATAATTCATAAATCTAAATACCTTGCTAGCCTCTAATTATTCCAAAGCATAAACGAATCACAAAAGGAAATTCCTTCTTTGTTTCTTTATGTTGTTTGATTCTGCTATGTGCTTCTTCACCAAATTTATCCCACAAATAACAGATAATCTGAGACCCTCTTTTGAGGGGCGAATGAAGCATGATCATAATAGAATAAAGTATAATTTATTGAATGATAAATAGGATAGATATATAAAATTAAAAATACTTAAAAAGACTTAGTCTTCATCTGCAAGGAATAATTTCAATCTGTTGTTTGTACCTCCAACCTTCAGATTAATAGTCTACATCTTCCAGTCAGTGACCTCCCCCATTATGTTAACAGAATGATTTGGTTCACATTTTTTTAATAAAATGTCATCAAATTTAGCACATGGAAAATTAAAAGGTGATATTTTGAAATCGTTTATTTCTTCAACAACTGTTGACTTAGTGAATAGAAGTTTGAAGCTATGGTTGCACAAACAGAAGCCATATACATTGCGCCTAACATCCATTTGTTTGATGCTATAGCAATGCTTGTCGTAAAATGTCTTCCGGAATGAGGCATTGAAAAGATTGGGCGGTATACTGCATTGTATGAACTGCCCCTCAAATATATATTAAAAATGTGATGAACAAAAATGAAAATGTGAAAGAATTCTGTTTCTTAATAAAATCTTTGAATGTTATTAATAATATTAAAGAAAACTGCCCCTCTAAATGAAACAAATATGAAATAATTCTTCTTGTTTTTGAATAAAATCTTTGAATGTTATTAATAATACTTCTCCCTGTTTATTAAGAAAAAATGTAAAATTTTCTCTTCTTTATATGAAGTTTTCAAGGAATCTGTATTAATGATTATATAAATTAGGTTAAAAAAGATTGGGAGAAGTGCACTATATTGGTTTTTTAAACAAATACAATTAATTAATTTATCATAGTTGGTCTCTTGTAGATATGTATGGTACTTCTGATGATCTCGTTAGTGTTCTCTAACATGTTATAATTTATAATTTCATGATAATTTACTTCCTAATGATGTGGGTATTTAACCTGCAATTTTACATTATTTTTTTATCAATAGATTTCAAAATTAAACCTGCAAATTGCAATGGTCCTAAAATTTATATGGAATAATTCCATTGCCATAAACTTAACTATAAGAAGGAATGTCATTAAAGTATTTTTTACAATAACAAAATGTTTCTAAATGTGTGATGAAAAAAAAGAGAATGTTTCTAAATGAAACAAATATGAAATAATTCTTCTAGATAGATGTGCAGGCGACTCTGGTTTCTCTGTGTGACATGCTCAATAATCAGTAGATTAGACATTGATAATAAGGTAATCACCATGTAGAATAAAAAGCAAGGATCATTCCTCTAGTAGATAAGTTTAATTACTTATCTACTTTACTTGCTTCGGCTAACTGTCTAATGTCTAAACTAATTTAATCCCATCCATCTATCGGCTTGTGATAATTTAGATCTCTATAATGCTGTTGAAAATAAAAATTGAAATGACTTCTAAGCAAAGAATGATCCTGAATGTGAGTTCATTTTCCAGTTTATGCTTCAGTTTGTTTTATTTCTCGCAGTTGCTTGCTAAATACTTCCGTGGTCCCAATAAGGTTTGTTTAGGTTTTCTTCTCAATTTTGAACACAATCTGATATTGAATCATTGCATTTTAAAGCATCTTAGATTATACTTTGAACTTTATTTTCAAGAGTCAAGACAACTATGATTTAATGTGTAGTAAATATCAAGCTTTTAATAATGGCTATTCTACACATACACAAAGATGTGGATATGGAGAATAATTGAAGAATTAGTATAGAAAAAAGAGAATAATTTAACTGTGATGTTGCTCCAAGACTTCATCGGTTATGAATTATGAGTAAGTAATCACAATTCTTGATATTAACAAAGCAAAGATGTCATTTATTATGTACTAAAATGCTTCCTTTCTTGTAGGTTCTTTGATTTTTCAAAAGCAGTAGCAAATAGAGCTTTCACAAATTATTCAGTTTTCTAGGTTTTTTTTGTCTGATTCAACGAATGATTTTAAGGTTGCGTTCTCAACCTTAAAAATGTGATGAACAAAAATGAGAATGTGAAAGGATTATGTTTCTTAATAAAATCTTTGAATGTTATTAATAATATTAAAGAAAACTGCCCCTCTAAATGAAACAAATATGAAAGAATTTTTTTTTTCTTAATAAAATCTTTGAATGTTATTAATAATACTTCTCCAGGTCTATTAAGAAAAAACGTAAATTTTTCTCTCTGTTTATATGAAGGTTTCAAGAAATCTGTATTAATGATTATATAAATTAGGTTAAAAAAAGATTGTGAGAAGTGCACTATATTGGTTTTTTAAAAAAATACAATTAAATAATTTATCATAGTACAAAATGAAGTGATTACAATTTGCCCTTTCAAATGATTTAGTAGTGGTGAAAAAATTAATACTCGCGAATCATTGATTCAAATCAATTAGTTTCAAAGCATACGTTATCAACAATTTTGCCAGCAATATTGTTGATATGGATTCTGCCAACAATATTGTTCAAATCAATTAATTGACATGGGGATATAATTTATATGGAATAATTCAATTGTCATCAACTTAACTATAAGAAGGAATGTCATTAATTTGTTTTTACAATCACAAAATGTTGTTCATAGAGTCGGCTCTATGCAAACAATTTCAATTTTATTCAAGTTCAATTGTACTAAATAAAAACATTTATTCTTTTCGAGAGTATATTTAAAACAAACAAATACATTTATGCCAACAATATTTAGGGATGTATAGATTCAGTTCAATATAAACATACCTTTTCATCACTTAAAAGTAGCTCGTAAGAAATAAGTTGATCTAGATTTGGTTGACAGGCATTTTCATCACTTAAAGAACAACTTTGCCTTTTATTTGAGACCTCTTCAATGCAATCATATTGCACCATGGAAGGAGGAATCACCATTATTTTAGTATGAGAATTTTGTTATTATGATGTGAATTGTGGATGTTACTAAGTATTTGTTAAATATTTATAGGGTTTATGGAGGATGAAAGCAAGAAGAATTGTATTTCAACTGGGAAGGGTCTACCGTTAATTTGATGCTATCTGTAAGAGTTTTATTAAGAGTTGAATTCCTTTGTATTATGATTAATTTGACTTGTGGTTACTCGTTGCATAGTTTTTGTATCACTTTGTGCCACTTTAAATTTAATGTTTTAATTTAGTAGTGTAGTACAATTGGCAACGATTGTGTTGCCGTAATATTGGATAATGAACAACTTGAATCTAATTTGTAGTGTGATTATATTTATCTGTTCCCATTTTTTTCAGTCTCCATATTAATTCGGACATAGTAATAAAATATTTACTATGAAGTGATTGGCGGGATTGCTGATTCCATGTGTGTTGTTGTTTATGTAATGTGAATTTAAAAAATATATTTTCCATATTTCAGATCTCAAACATTGCTAAAATTCTTCCTTAAAAAATGGGGACAAACAGGAAAGGAGATGATTTTTTCCACTTGTCATTCAATAGCAATTTGTTTAATAAAACTTTAGATATGACAACGATTCAATAGCAACGATTGGCAACGATTGGGTTGCCGTAATAAGTGGAGGGTGAACAGCTTGAAGCTATATCCGTTTAACAAATATATCGTATTTTTTTTGATCGTATGGGTCATTCAAGGGCACCCAAATTGAATGTTTTAATAGCAAAGTTAGTAACCAATAAGGGGCTGCCATGTCACTATGTCAGCTTTTAAAAAATGAGCTTTACTATATATAACTATAGATAGTATCTTTTCGTATGTATTTGGTTTATTAAAGTGTTTGTAAACTGAAAATTGTAATTGAAATATAAAGTAATGGAGGTTATATGAAATAGTTTTGGAATATAAATTCATCTTATTTCTTTCTAAAAGATTTATTCGTTAAGATTAATTATACTTTTATTTTAAAATTTAATTTATTCTTTTAACATTTCAATTAAAATACGGAATACTGTTTTTCTTAAATAATTTATTTTGCAAAATAGATTATAGTTTTAACATTATCACTATTAGCATTACTCAAATATTATACACACTCATGTCCTTATACGTCTTTTTACATTCAAATAGTTGTTTTATAACAGCTAATTTTACCAAACATTTATTAACAATAAGCTAACATAACTAGCCAATCAAAACAGCTAACACAACCAGCTGTGATCAAACAGCTGACATAACCAGCTAACAGCTAACAGCTAAAAGCCGATTGCCAAACAAGGCCATAATGCAAAAACCGAGCTTGAAGTCTAAGACAGACGAGTCAAATAAATGTGTCTCGTCTAAATACTTTCATTATTAGATCACTCCCTCCGTATTAAAATAAGTGTTCCAATAGGCTTTTCACGTAGTTTAAAATAACTTATAGGTTTATCGTACATTTTTTGAAAAGTAGGAGAGTTTTGGTACGTAGCAGTACTGTTTACTTTATTAAAATGTACTGTAACTACTTTTGGATAGATTTATTTCCTGAAATGGAAGTGAGACACTTATTTTGTTACGACAAAAAAGGAAAGTAAGACACTTACTGTGATACGGAAAGAGTATTACATACTAAGTACTTTTCATTTTTTCCCATACAAATATATGTGTACACACGCGTGCATGAATTCGGAGACGGAATAGTCGAATAAGAAGTATGAAAGTCCAAAAGTTGATTTAATTAAAATCTCAACAAGATCTACAAATCTAAGTTTTAAAAAAGTATACATAGTAATCCCTCCGTTCCAAAATGATAATCCTGTATTTCCTTTTTGGGATGTCCCAAAATGATGGTCCTATTTCCCTTTTTGGAAAGAAAGATGTGGTCTATATCATTTCACTTTATTATACTCAACTCTCAACAACAACTTTTACTTTTTCAATCACTTTATTAAAACTTGTGTCCAAAAGAAATGAAACTATCAAATTGGGAGGGAGGGAATAACATATATGATACCAAAAGTCGGACACATAATTTTTGTATAGTCTGCATAAACTATCCATGTAATGGATTCACAATATAAGTTTTCATTCGAATACATACTAATGCATATATTAACATATAATCTTTTTGTCACACTCAAGTTTGTCAACTTTCTTTTTTATGTGTTATATAAATTTTGTCACTTTTATTTTAAAATGAATAAATTTATGACTTTATTCATTTATTTGTTCTTTATACAATTCTCTTCCATACATTTTTTACTTTTTTTAATTTCACACCTAATATAAAGTTAACAGAGTTAATGTGACGGGTTAACACTAGTATAATTTATGACCCCTCTAATATAATGTGCTTTGAGAGGGATCATTCATATGAGTATATGAGTGGACACAAGCCACACAACAAATGTAGGAATGGAAGTACCCCTATTGAGTAGTCACCATGAACATGTTTGACATTTAGCGATTAACAGTGAGCGGATAGCGACATATGTTAGCGTGTTGTCAATATCGGATTCAGTTAGCGGATTTGACTAGCGGAATAAGTTCGCGGGTTGACAGAATATGTTTTATAATATAGTTGTTTGGCCAAAAAATTAGTAGAAAACGTCATTTTCAAAACGTTAACCCAAAACTCTCTTATTTGAAGTGTTTCTATTTCAACGGTTTCGTCCAATAACGCTAGGGCTGAACAACCATTTACTAAACAACATTTTCATTTATTGAAAATATTAAAAGTGGTCAAATCGTCATTTTTCGAATGAAACGTGGATTTCCAAACACCCCATCTATTATTAGAAAATAATTTCGAACCTTTCTCGTGAAATATCTTTAGCTTATTAAAAACACACAAAAAATATTGGGAAACGTATACTTTTTCTACCGGTAAGTTTCCTACTTTCCTCAAAGATTTTGCCGAACACCGAAAAGTAATACGTAATACGTAGCATTTATTATTTATCTACTAAAACCTTGATTTAGTCGGTCTCTCTTTTTCACATCAGATCCATAGCTCCTGCTAGTCTTCGCTGAAATATCATTCATTCAAGCCTGAAACTTCACTCGCTACAAGGATCCTCTGAATTTCATTTTGAAACTGTTCCTTCTTGCCGTACATACCAGTGGGAATGGGAGCGGTGCCATCAACGCCGCGTTTCACCGGCGATGTGCGGCAGGAGACGGCTGAGTCTCTAATCGGAGCGTTTGTCGGCGAAAAATCACATCCGCTCACCTCAGATTACTGGCAGAAGCTTCTCCTGCACCCTCTCTACCTCCGTTGGGCCCCTCACCGTGTTCAGGAAGCTTGCCACCTCTTCGGTAACATCCTTTACTCCAATTGTGAAACTGTGACCCTGTAAACTGTATCTTCTGTTAATTGTTTCATGTATTACTTCCTTGTTAGGAAATCGTGATTTGCTTAGTTTATGCCTTATATTCTTAAGACCTGATGATTTTGAAATATCTATTTAAGACTTCGTCGGTAACTTCTGGTAAGTTTTGATCATTAATTCAATGTATTCTTCTAAGATCACATTGCATGTTGAGATGATAATTCTATAGTTGATTAGTTGACATAGAATACAAAGTACAAACAGTAGTCAGTAGGATAAGTTTATTTGATCATTAATTCAATCTACAGATTTTACTGAAAATGCAAGAGATGAAGAGATTTATTTATTTTCTGAACTATACCACAACAACAACATTAGCCCAGTGCCGCAAAGGATCCCACCTACGGTGGGGGGTAAGGTGGTCGGATGAACGCAGCCTTACCCCTGCACTAAAGCACAGGGTAAGGTGGTCGGATGAACGCAGCCTTTCCGGATGACCCATGATGAAAATTGCGTCAAAAATTGCATGGACTGACCAGTGCTTCGTAACAAAGAAGCGCAGATAGTTTAGTGAGTCATTTTGCTTTATTCCATCTTATTCCCAAGCCAAAAAATAGTGAGTCTTTGGCTCCATCATGTAGTAGATAAAGTAAAAAAATAGAGTAAAAAGAATATATAGGTGTGCAGATATTTCCCAAGCCATTTTATTACTCATGAACTATAGAGAAAAAATGTATAGGGGTACAGAATATTTCCCAAGACATTTTTTTAATCTTGAGCTATAGAGTAAAAAAATAGATTTGACCTCAGCGCTATGTAGATTTATGAAACAAAGTATTACAGATAGAGTTGGCATGTGCAATTGTACATAGGGGTACACTAAACTCTTGTGAATGTTTGAGAGGTGGATTGATCTAGTTGCCCTACTACATCATCATTTCAATTAAATGAAAACTAAAAAATATAGTCATATTTGATAGCTGCTTTCTCTTTAACGACCGATCTCCAACCACATTCAATCGCAGTAGCTGTAAAGTATAGCTGCTGTGTTGTGCATATTAGCAAGTCATTCCTCTGGAATTAAAGAAACATAATTTCATAAACCATATGGTTTATGGAAAATAAGGTAAATTCAACAGTCCGTGACTATGACAATTCTAACTACTAATATTGCACCCTTAATTTAGCTCTTCAGGATGAAATTGTGGATCCTCGTATCTGAAAATAAGTCCCTCCGCAGAACATGAGCCTGTTTCAAACACTTCTATTTTTCCTTAATAAGGAGTCATGTGAGTGATATCACTAATCTTTCATTTTCACGTAATTTGCTAAAAAGAACTGACAAACAAGTATAGATTTAGTAAAATTAAGAAATAATTTTTAAACTATTAATTAGATTATGGTTCAACCAAAATTAAAGGAATAAAAGTTGTACTTTGGGAGTTTGGTCAAATGTGATTTTTTGGGTCAGAAGTAGTACTACATAGTATGAATACGTTCTTTATAAATCCATAAAATTACTCCGTAGTAAATAAATAAATAAATAAAACAGGTTCAAACATACTGACTTGTTATTCTAAATGCCTTTATTGTTTTTCTGCAGCAAAGAACAACTGTAAGACAAGGCACCTCGCTAAGTGTCTAGTTCATCTAAATTGGTGTTTGCAAGAGTGTGTTTCTGCATCAGATGAACAATCTTTGTCTCTCATAAAGGCCCTCAATGCAGCTTACATCTCATCTATTTTTCTGAAATACCTGATTGAACATTCCCACTCTGACAACTTTGAAGAATTGTACATATCTCTAAATGAAAGCGAAGAGATACCACATAATTTTTCAACAGGTGAAATGATCTCTCCATGCAAATTAATTATTGATATTCAAATATTATGCAGGCAGTTGATTGGGGACTATTATCCTATAAGTGCAAATGTGCAATTGGGTGGCGCCTTTGTTGTAAAATATATAGATAGATACAGACAGTCTAGTGCGTAGGTAGTGATCTGAGCAGCACAGTAACGCGAAGCTGAAAATGGGAAACACGAGAAATGAGATTTCTGAAAAATATAGTATACAAAATGTGGGGGAAACATATAAATATTTAAAAATGAGGATATAATATACGTAGTACTACGTAAATATTTTTTCATGTGTATCAATGTTTTTTTATTTATATATGCAGATATTTTTTCAGGACTTTGTTTGATAACCAATAATTAATACATTCTAAATTTTCAGATTTAGATTGTTTACATATTATTAATTAATTACACATAATATGCATGTTTTCAATGCACTTCATCTCCAATTCATGATTGAACGGAGTACAAAATGATCTTATACGCTCTTACCTGCCAAAATATCTGTACTTGTAAATTATTTATAAGTATCTTTAAAACCTTTTCAGCAATTGATTCAGAATTGCATTAAAGAGGTGTATCTCATAAGGTCTTTTGAACTGTATTTGCTCATTTTAATGTTTCTCATTGCAGATCAGAGGATTGAGCATCTTCTTGTGCACAGTATCTTCAGCTTTCTTGGAAAAGTAGATGTTAGGTATATCATGGAATTTTTAATCCTTTTTATTGTGCATTTTGCTTTATCATATATCTTTTTCTGACAAGTGCATTCAACCTGCAAGTACGAACTCATTTCTTCTGCACTACGAACTGCTTAACTTCATGCTCATTGCCATGTCAACACAACTACTTTCAGGGCCATCGCTGGCCCCAAATGATATGCATCCTTTCATTGATGCTGCAATGGTACAGGTAATATGAATTCACATAATTTCCAAGTGGGCAATGAATCAAGAGTAGAAACATTTTCAGTGTTAACTCGCTGCTCTTTATGCAGCAAAGTCCATTGGTGAACATGGTTGTTCAAAAACTGCTACTTAATTACATCACACGACCACGCTTCCATGCAAGGTACTCGCCTTATCAGATATTTGCTGAAGGAAACCAGCCTGGTGTTTTACAGAGAGTTGGCTCTGTAGCTGGTAGGATAATATCACCCCAGAAAAAAGTGTTTGATTATATGTGCCCCTTCCACTATCTACCTGTATATTCTGCTATTCATACATTTTGATTTATATATGGATATTTTGTTAAGCATAATATATGCATTCTAAAATGCGCAAGGCGACGGGCTTAGGCAATGACTTTCTGAAAAGTTCATAACATACTTCATATTCTCCCAGAATGGTGTGCATTTTTATTAGTCCAACTTCCAGTGACTATTGCAAGGGATTATATCCCAAAAGTGTTGCTTTTTACATGCTTACATTTACATTGTGTGATCTTATTCCATGAAACATATTTATGTATCTTGCTACTTTGTTATCTTCACTTGTATGAGTTGTATCAAAGCTTTTACTATTTTTATTGACTTGCAGCAAACCTTGTGCTATTCCCATTAAATTATTTTTCCAACTCTATTGCTGAACCTTCTAAAAGCTCATTGGCGGAGAGCAGTCTCAATATTTTGCTGATCCTTATCCATTATCGCAAGTGTGTGAGCATCGATCGTCCAAAAGATGAAAATGGCTACAGTGCTTCAGATCCTCTTCCTAAGGCAGAAGCATGCTTTTTTGAAAATCCTTACTATACAGCCTTACAAAATGCTCGGGAGACTGAATGTAGGATTACAGTCTGATGTCATTTTTTTCTGAACTTATGCTGTAAAATGCTTTATGTTTCTGAGTGTATCACAAAATGCAGTTGATCATGTTGATGTAGAAGGGGCTGCACAAAATGGTGCTCTTGTGAGACTGCCTTTTGCTTCTCTTTTTGATACACTTGGGATGTAAGTCCACTGAAATTATCTAATATTAGCAGTTGTAGGAAAAGAAATTTCCAATTAACTTTTGGTTTATTATTTCCTTTTGACCCCCCTTCTTATGTTGTTGGGCGTTGTTACTAAATTTCTTGTCTTGACGATTTGTGATTAATTGATCATGCATAAGATTAATTAATTGAATTCCATTTCACGCATATGACTCTTATTGGTGGTTCCTCAAGAACACCAATAAGGGTTTTTTTACTTGGACTGTTTTCAGTCCCAGACCATACCAGACTTGGATAGTTATAAAATACACAAAGACCAGACATTTACCAGATCAGTTCAGACCAGACCAGAAAATTCCAGTGCAAGTGAAAACATCCTAATGAAAATATTATCACTCATATAGATTGCAATAAATTCAAGGCTGTGCTTTTAATTTTGCTTGGGATGCTCTTGGGGTCTTGGTTTTGTTTTCTTACAAATGATCATTGAATTTTCGCTGGAACGTCATGGTTATATTACACAAGATCATTTTCGATAATCTTGAACATGCACTTGGATGATCATTGAACGTGCATGGATGTGGTTTGGTTTCATCATTATAGTGGGGTTTTTTCAAAAATATTACTAAAATAAAACTTATTTACACAGAGATGACTAAGAGTTGCTATAATCTAGTGTCATGGTAACTTAAGTTTAAAACATGAACATAAGTTACTTTATTTCCATTACTGCTCTAGTCACTAGTTACATTTTTGTAAACAATCTTTATTTTAATCATAAATATGTAATTATTTTCATTATAGTTTCATGGATACTTTACTCTCAGGTGCCTGGCTGATGAAACTTCTGTTCTCTTACTTTATTCTCTTGTCCAAGGGAATTCTGACTTTCTAGAATATGTCCTGGTCAGGACAGATCTTGATACTCTGGTATGAATAAGCAGTTACATATATTTATCATTAGGACGTCACTTTATTCCCTTTTCTTCCTTGCATGATAAGGGAAGTTGATGTTTGCTATGTTTCCTTGTCTGTTCCCGGTTGCTAAACATTACATTGATGCTACAAAAGCTTATCATATCTGTCATTCTAATGAATTAACAGTTGATTCCTTTGCTGGAAACACTTTATAATGCTCCGAGAAGGGCACCCAACCAAATCTACATGGTCCTAATCATCCTTCTTATACTAAGTCAAGATTCCTCTTTCAATGCTAGCATACACAAACTGGTAATTGAACTTTTATAGACTCTGTAAGTCTGTAATTACTTATTAGAGTGACCATGCAGATCATGAATTTTTTTTCCTGCAGATGCTTCATAGTGTCCCATGGTACAAAGAGCGTGCTCTTCATCAAACATCTCTAGGTTCTCTCATGGTTATAATTCTTACAAGAATTATCCACTATAATCTATCAAAACTGCGGGTATGAAACTAGAAGACCATTCTGTTGGCTCATTTCTTCTGTTTCCCTCAATTATAGATAGAGAAATAGTAAAATCAGCTCTCCAGTTATACACGTCATCATTTTTCCTCCCTATCCCGTTAGAGTCTGAAAATACCAATGGTCCATGGTTAATACTTGAGCAAGTGGATGTGATTTTTAGAAGTTGAGAAACTCTGTAGTATGCATACAATATGAGGAATGGAAATAAAAAAATATTACGATTTGGACACTGACAAGTAACAACCAATCTCAAAAATAAATTTCTCTCTTACTGTACGTATACACATCACATCACAAATTTAAAACCAGCCTACACATTCCATCAAAACATGGTCATGTGATCCAATGATTCATTGACTTGTCATTGACTCTTTTATGTATTGGATTTGACCCTGTGAGTTAGGGTTAGCCATTTTAATGTGATGTATACCCCTTGTAAGTTACACAGACATCTTGCTCACATTCAAATCTCAATATTCTGCTGACCTAGAAATTGTATCTGATATCAGACTAACAATTGAGGGATGAAAAACACGTGATGGATTTGACGCATATAATTGGATGACAGTTCAGTCCGATATTCCCTTATATATGTTGGATTGTGTCTATATATGCTCATACTTTCGTGTGGTAAAACCTATTTCTTGTAAGCATTATTGCAATTTCCTGTATTTTGTTTTAGAACTTGCCAAGGGTTGGTGCTGCCCTTTTATACTGTAAGAAATGAACCATGAAGCATATAGCATCAGAGACTTATCTCAACCACCGCATCCTAAAATGTATCAAATTCAAACAGGATGTTTTTCTCCATACCAATTGCCTGGCGACATTGGCAAATATGGCACCACATGTCCATCGCCTTAGTGCCTATGCATCACAGCGATTAGTTAGTCTTTTTGATATCCTTTCGCGCAAGTATGTATTCTACCACTCTGCATCCGATTGAGTTTTAACAGCCATTCAATTGCTCATTAAATATTGTTTTAATATTATTGGATATTAGGTATAACAAATTAGCTGAGATGAAAAATGATAAGATGAGTTTTTCCAATGATGAACCTTTGGGCGAAAACCTATCAGAAGACAGTGTATGCCACCGTTCCACCTTGCTTGCTAAATATTTTAGTTAAAACCAGATATCCACCTTCATTGCCAATTTCTGAATTGCTTTCCGTCATCTTGTCAGCCCAAAATGTTGCCCTTATAGTGTGGATTTAATTGTTGCAGTCAGCTGAGCTGCATATGTACACTGACTTCATGAGGATTGTTTTGGAAATAATGAATGCGATTCTAACTTATGCACTACCTCGTAACCCTGAGGTACCATTATCTCATTCATATTTTATTATATGTGGAGTCTGACATTATACATGCCAAGTATCAAATTATGAATTATCTCTGTTGTTTTTTTGCATCTGGCAGGTTGTTTATGCAATTTTGCACAGACAGGAGCTTTTCTATCCTTTTAAAAGTCATCCACGGTTTAATGAGCTGCTTGACAACCTTTTTATGGTATGCATCCAATCAGGATTGACGGATTGTGCTATTATGTGAAGAGCTAAATTTTGGCTATCGAGAGCAAGAAGAAGAAAAATGTGCATATGATGGCCAGTTGAGATCGCTATCTTAAGAAGATGAATGTGTTTGAAGAGAAAATTGGACCATATTAATTTGCTTATTATTATTCGAGTTTTTTTCAAAAATATTATTGAAATGAAACTTATTTACAAAATATGAGTATATGACTAATAGTTACTATATTATAGTCCCATAGTCATTTAAGTCTGAAAATTGAACATAAGTTACTATGACCAAGTTACTATTATAGTCACCATATTTAGGTCACATTTTTATAAACAACATTTATTTTAGTCATATATATGTAATTATTTCTTCTTCTTATTATTATTATTATTTTGCCAACACTTGGTGGACATCAAAGTGTGCCTCACAGCCTCACTCATCTCTTTATCGTCTTCCAAATGTGTAGGTCTTGGACTTCTTTAACAGCCGAATGGATGCCCAAAAAATGGATGGTGAATGGTCTGTGGAGAAAGTACTTCAAATCATTATTGTGAATTGCAGATCTTGGAGAGGTGAAGGGATGAAGGTAATTGCAGCTGATGCTTATACAGTAGTTTATAGTAGTAGTCTCAAATTTTGGAACGTCTACTCAGAGATTCATATTGGGAAAACCTCTTCTTCTTTGCAATAGATGTTTTCGCAAACGCGTTTTACCTATGAGCAAGAGAGTCACCCAGAGGAGTTCTTCATACCATATGTCTGGCAGTTGGTTTTATCTCAAAGGTGTGGCCGGTGTTGAAAATCACCTCTTCCAATTAATACTTCAAAACTTTCCGAACGACTTCTGTTCCTTCATTTTTTTCCCTTCATTATTCATGATAAATATGTTCCTTCGATGGGGCTAATCCATCTTCTCTTCTTATATTTTCCCTTTTTTCCCGGGTTGATGTTGGCTGCAGTGGTTTGGATTTTTCTCCTAGCAGCATAAATCTTTTTCATGTTGACTTACCTGTGGAAGTAAGTGTTTTTTTATATTTATTTTACTTTTCGCAGACGTTAACTGTTGTTTATCGTTATTTGATATCATTGTTTGTATATATCACAGAGGTTGTCTTGCTTGAAACAGGATGATGGTTTTACTAGTTCAGATACAGACAAGGTACAAAATGGCGATTCAAATGGAAATACGCAGATTGGAATCTGGGTTGACTGATGAGCTCCCTTAAGTTGGTCAGTTGTATATATGGATATATATATATATATATGTATACGCATATACACATGTGTGTATATACATACATCTTAGATATGTGTATTCTTCTCATTCTTTTGTGTTTATAGGTCAAGAGTGTGTAGGTGCTTAAATATATTTAAAGTTTTGGAGGTTTTTGTTTTACGCAAGTGTATAATGGAGGGTGTTGGTATAGTTTAGCCTTTGCCTTGTTGAGGCTTTTAAATTATATCCTTGCAGATAGAGATGCCAATAACTACCATCTTTTTTGCGCCCGCCCATATCCACCACATAGGTGTCCGTAGGCTTGTAGCTTTGTTGCATGCTTGCATCCATGCCATTTCATAAACTCTTGTATTAACCAATATCACAAGTTGGGTTCATCGAATGGGAAAACTGTGTTTACTGATCACCTCAATATCTTTTAACTATTATTTATTTTGTATACTGGTATTTGTTAAATTAATGTAGTACATTGTTGGGCACTCGACAAAAAGTGACCTGCACTTTTCTTTTCATCTTTTCTTCAACATACAAAACGGCTGTCCTTTCTTGGACCAAATTAAATGTGCTTACTGCTTAGGGATGTGTTAGGTCTAGGTCCATATATAAGAATTTACCAAATTTTGGTTGTTTTGTCTGTTTTATACTGGCCGGGTTTGGATTAGAATATTGCAATTAGGTAATTGGAACATAAATAAATGATGAAATTATGACATGAATCAAGTATATGCATTGTAGACTGTAGTTCACCAAATGCGTTTTATACTTTTATATACTAATTATATTCCAATGTTAATTCTGTTAGCACAAACAAGAGCAGCATAGCAATATATATCAACATAAGTATACATTTGAACAAACGAACAAAAACAGAAGTCTAAACTAAGTTATCTTATCCTGGTTTGAGCATGGAACGACTAGTTTGTTAGCTAGAACACCAGCAAGGAATCTTTGATGTCATACCCCATCTTCTCCAAGTTGGGATTAACGGCAAATTGAATCATCTGTGGCGGTCCACATACTAACGCTAGTGTAGTAGGAGATGCTGCCGAAATATGCTCCCTTAGAATGCTCTCGTTGATATATCCAGTGCTGTACTTCCAGCCTTCCTTTATGCACTCTTTAACAACATACCACACTTTAACCCTTTCTGGATATTTCTCCCCCCATGCATCAAGCTCATCTCTCAACAAAATATCATCCTCCATCCGATTAGCATACACCACGTGCATCTCTGTTTCGTCTTCCTGGTCGTTCAAGATCGCCTGCATGACTTGGTAGATCGGAGTTATTCCCGTCCCGCCAGCGATCATGGAGAGTTTCTTGGCGAACTTGGGTTTCCCATGCACGAGAAACTCCCCCTTCCCCTTGTACTCAATGTGTCCTACCGGGCCTTTCACGTGGAGAGATGATCCGATTTCGAGCGACTCAAGATGTTGGGACATCTTGCCGCCGTTTGGGAACTTCGGATGGACTCCTTTGAAGTAAATTTTCACGACCAAGTCGATGTATCCAACTTGGTCGGCATTACTGGTAGGTGTATACGCCCGCATGCAGAGCTTACCGTCTATGGTGGCACACAAGAAGATGTGCTTGCCCACAGGTAACCCTAGAGCTTGGTCATCCCGCGGGAGTGAGAACCTGAGTAGAGAGAGATTTACAATAGAAATTGCTCAAACTAAGTCTAAAAAAACACAGTTTTTTTTTTTGGAAAAACATACACAAAGTTTAAAACTAGAACTAAGTGTGTTTTATTCCGCAAATAGGACTTATTTAGGCCAACTAAAAGAATAAGTTGATTAAAACTTCCCAACCCTAGGAGTGAATGATTCCTATTTTGGAAATAAAACAATGACAGTCTTATTTATGAACATTATTCTTGTTTTAGTCTTAATTAGAGGATTTTATCTTTTGACCGGAATTTCAAAATGATTTCATTACGAAACAATTAAATGTACTTAAGGAACTTCTTTAATTCAATATTTGAGGTGACAAAATGCATCAATACTGCTAATATATGGTGCCATTTATACATTTATGCCTGGAAGGAAAGAATAAAAAGTCTATGGATGAGAATGGGTGCACCTGAATAACCTCACATCATGGGAAATGGATTCCTTGTGAATGAGTTTGCATGGGATCTTCTCATACATGCTCCCGGCCACCCCGACTGTGTTTTCCTTGATCGGAGCTAAATGGACGGCGGAGTTGTTGGGTGTGGAGGAAGGGGAGGAATTCAAAGTAGAGTTGAAGAGGTTGTCGTCGGGGGTGGTGATGACCTCCCCAATCCTATAGTCTTCTAAGAGCTTCTTGGCATTATCAGAGTGGATGGCGTGGAATTCGTCGGTGCAGTCGGCGCCGGTGTTGATGAGGATGCTTTCGGCTCCGCCAGGGTGGTCGTTAAGGAAGAGGGTGCAATCGTAGACGTGGCCGCCGATGATGATCCAGGCGGAGTCGGAGGTGTTGTGCTTCTTCACCTCGGATATGGAGAACGTCGCTGTCTGAACCGGCGTTGCCGTGTTCATGAAGGGCGATGAGACGCTCTTCTTGATGGCCGGGGAAGAGTTGTGAAGATGTCGTCTTTCCTTATCCATCCATCCACTGGACTGGTTCCCGGGTTGGGTCGGGTGCTCAAACACAATCCCAAGCTCTCCCTTGCCTGAATTGCAAGTTCGGGTCTTCACTCGGAACCAACAGTTGTTCATCATTCCCTGTTTTTATGCATAAAGTAATTGATAAATTTGCATAATTTAAGGTTAGCATAAATTTAGATATAGAGATTATTTAGTTCTATTTAGAAGTGAATAATTCCTATTTTGGAAATAAAACAATGATAGACCTATTTAGAAATTTTATCTTTATTTTAATCCTATTTAGGGAATTTTCTCGTAGTACAAATTAAAATTGATATCATAAATAAGTAGGAGTATATAAAACTAAATTGTGTTGAACAAGAAAAATAGAATCTATTAGTCATTTTAAGACAAAGCCAGTATAAGACAACTAATACAACAATAATTTTTAGTGTGTTGTCTTTTTATTGTTTGTTCTCATGGTTTCCTTGTTATCCTCTAAAATTGTTTGCCCTATAAAGTAGAAGTCACATATTCCAGCCTCTCGCCAACTTCCACAACTAAGTTCATAGGTTGATATCGGGTGTGTTTAGCATTTAGCGGACACCGGATATGTTTGCGGGTTATAAATAGCGGATTCGGTCAACGGGTTTGACTAGCTGCTTGGCCATAAAATTAGTAGAAAATGTCATATTTCAAAACGTTAATTACCCAAAACTCCTCTATTTGGAGCATTTCTATTTCAACGTTTCCGTTAAAAAATGCTTGTGTCAACAGCTATTTACCAAACATTTTTTTCACTTGTTAAAAACGCTAAAAGTGGTCAACCGTCATTTTCGGCTGAAACACCATTTACTAGGGATGGACTCAACCGGGCCGGGCCGGCCCGGAAGCGACCCGGCCCGCTACTATGCGGGCCGGGACCGGACCGGGACCGGTTGGCCAGTTTCGGGCTTTTAGCCCGTTTGGGCGGGTTGGGCGGGCCGGGCTCGGGCTCAGTTTTGGGCGAACCGGCCCGACTGGTTCGGGCCGGGCCCGGGTCATTTTTTTTTGTGTTTTCATTTTTTTTTCTTTTCCTAGGGTAGGGCTGGGTGTTTTGGGGAGGTTTGGGGGTGGGGTGAGGGGGGGTCGGGGGATAACAAGAAAGCAAAAAAAATTATACATTGAACCGGGCCCGGCCCGGGCCGGTTTCAGGCCCAAGGATATGCAAAAAAGACCGCCCGGCTCGGAACTGGAACCGGACCAGCCCAGGTCCATCCCTACCATTTACCAAACACCCCCATTGTGAATCAAGTTTTATTAGCTTTGAAGACCTAATATATATTTTCAAAAAGCACTTAATTTATAACACGTACTAAAGTAAATTTAAACACTTCACTTTATTTCGAACGATTTGTTATTAAGATTTTAATTTACTATAGATTTTGTGAGCTTTTAATCTTAAATACTTCCTCCGTTCTTAAATAAATGCAACGGTCAACATTTCACACTTGCTAAGACACAACTTTGACCATTAATATATATGATTTTGTATTAGTAAAAAAATTAAAAAAATTAGATTATGAAAATTTACAATGAGACAAGTTTAACAATATTTTTTTCATAAAATTATATTATTACATTAATAAATAAAACGTAATTAAAGTAGAACATGTGAATAGTGTAAAAGTCAAAGTGTTGCATCTATTTAAGAACGGAGATAGTATATATTAATGGTTGTGCGAGATTTTAAAGACCGTGATAGACAAACTATACACATAGTACGGAGTATATAATTAGGAGATGGGTGATGAAACTATATAGAACTATCTTAGGATTCTATATGTGCAATGCGTTTCTTGAAGAAACTTGTGGTGCAATTAGCTTTAGGAGGACAACAACTAAATCATGTTCATTTACGTACATCTTAATTAGATATGATAAATTCTCTAATATGTACACAACTAAAAAAAATCAAAATAAGATATGTTTTATCTGCTAAATAGGTAATGGTCTTCTTTAAAAAAAAGGTATAGTCTAAAATTTGACAGAAACATAGGTACTGCTATAAAAATGATTGAGTATATTTTCTTCCAAAAATAGAACTTATTAATCAGTTCCAATTAAAGAGTTCGTATACAGTACGACCGTCCCAGCATGAGCACGGTACACCCACTCTCAAAACTTTTTTTAAAAATGGTAATAACTTTTTAATTTTTGATCCGATTTTTATAAAATTTATATCAACATTTTTTATTTTTCATGATCTTTCAAATGAGACCAATATTGCCTATGTAATTTTAACATATTGTCGAACTATTATATTAACCTATGTAAAATATGTAATTTTACGTGTAAAAGTATGTAACTCACGTCTAGTCAGGTCAAATGCAACTCGTGTGTATAAATATGTAACTCTATGTGTAAAAATATGTAACTTTACGTGTAAAAATATGTAACTCGCGTTCAGACAGGTCAAATGTAACTCGTGTGTATAAATATGTAACTCGCGTGTATAAATATGTAACTTGCTTATAAAAAGATGTAACTCGCTCATAAAAAGATGTAACTCAATGTAACTGAGGTCACTGATCCACTCTCAAACAGATTCGATCTTCTATTTCACAAACCTATCATCTCCCTGCAATTCATATGCAACTCGTGTGTATATATATGTAACTTGCGTGTAGAAATATGTAACTTTACGTGTAAAAATATGTAACTTCACGTATAAAAATATGTAACTCACATGTATAAATACATAATACAATAAATTTTTTATATACACAATTTTAAGATAAATTGTGATTTACACAATTATTTTTCTAAATTAAATTTAGTTCGATTTTCCAATACCATTAATATAATAGTTCGATAAGTTTTTAAAATTACATAAGCAATATTTGTCTCATTTGAAAGATCATGAAAAATAAAAAATGTTGATATAAATTTTATAAAAATCGGATCAAAAATAAAAAAGGTATTATCATTTTTTAACAACAAAAGCAAAAAAAGAAAGAAAAGAAACAAACAATCCTACGTCGTTTTGCAACCGGGTGCACCATCCTCATGGTGCCCCGGTTGCACGGTATAATTTGCCCCAATTAAAAGAACAAAATCAAATCTTTTCAAGAAAAGAGTGCAATAACGAGTGCTTATACCGTGCAACCGGTATACGGTGTATACGGTACGGATTTTTTTTTCCTTTTGTTTTTAAAAAATGGTAATAACTTTTTTATTTTTGATCCGATTTTTATAAAATTTATATCAACATTTTTTATTTTTCATGATCTTTCAAATGAGACCAATATTGCCTATGTAATTTTAACATATTAACATTTGCGTGTAAAATATGTAAGTTTTCGTGTTAAAATATGTAACTCACGTTCAGTCAGGCCAAATGCAACTCGTGTGTATAAATATGTATCTCTACGTGTAACAATATGTAACTTTATGTAAAAAAATATGTAACTCGCGTTCAGACAGGTCAAATGCAACTCGTGTGTATAAATATGTAACTCGCGTGTAAAAATATGTAACTTTACGTGTAAATATATGTAACTTTACGTGTAAATATATGTAAGTCGCGTCCAAGCATGTCAAATGCAACTCGTGTTTATATATATGTAACTCGCTTTTAAAAAGATGTAACTTGCTTATAAAAAGATGTAACTTGCTTATAAAAAGATGTAACTTGCTTATAAAAAGATGTAACTCGCTCATAAAAAGATGTAACTCAATGTATTATCAAATGTAAATGAGGCCACTGATCCACTCCCAAACAGATTCGATCTTCTATTTCACAAACCTATTATCTCCCAAACAAATTCGATTTTTCTTATAATCCAATACTCATTAATATAATAGTTCGATAATTTCTTAAAATTACATACACAATATTGGTGTCATTTGAAAGATCATGAAAAATAAAAAATGTTGATATAAATTTTATAAAAATCGGATCAAAAATAAAAAAGTTATTATCATTTTTAACAACAAAAGCAAAAAAAAAAGTCTGATTCTACGTCGTTTTTGCGACCGGACGCACCATCCTCATGGTGCGCCGGTTGCACCATATAATTTCCCTGCAATAACTCCTATTTCGAGAAGAACTTTTAAGAAATTTTACTACGAAGTATATGTTTTATTACGGAGTATTATTTAATAAATTATATATTTCAAAAAGAAAAAATACCATGAGATTCCAAATGAGGTTTTGAGGTTGGGTATTGTGAGTCTCATCCCAAGCTCGAACAGCAAAATCCTTGGCGGCCAACAAGTGGAGGAGGTCGACTTGGAGAGACCATAAACACCAGCACCAGTACTTCCCATACTTATTCCCCTTCTCCAAACGTTCCAACTCGCACACCCGCCACGTCTCTCCGCCGTCCATCGTCACCTCCACGCGCGTTACTTTCTTTCCTCCGCCTGCATGCAAAGTGCACGGGGCTGTGAATATAATTACCCTTAAGAATTATCGATTTGTGAAAATTCTCTGAATTTTATCTCCTAATGATAAAATTAAGAAGGCTCATTGGTTTCTTTAATTGGACAAGGATAACATTAAAAGTGGTTACAAAAAAAAAAAATAGCATGCCCCTAGGCCCTAGCTATTAATTTTACATTCACAAATTTTTAGTGTATGAAGTACATCACATGAAGAAAATAGTCACCAAACTATTGGTACCTCTTCCCCACACCCTCTAGCTGGCCTCTTACATTCAGTATAAAAACTAATGTAACAAAATATATATTATGAATATTTATTTTCAGAATAAAAAAAATGGTATGATTGATTGAACCTCTTGAAGAAGTGTTTGGATCTCCTAATGATTCTAGAGACAAATAATGCGAACGTTTTTTCAGAAAAAATGTGTAATTTCATATGGGTACTTCAATTCATTTTGTTTTCAAATTATATTTTTTACAAAGAATATTATATGCTGCGACTCTTCAGAGTTTGGAGAGGTGAACCCTTTTGGCACCAAGCTAGGACAAGTTATATGATTTATATCCACATTTTTGTTTCCTCTTTTGGTAGGGGCTTATCTCATTCTTGGATTCTTCCATCATTATCTCCTTCTTCAATTCCCCATCCATTATTATATATTTTGAAGGAAATTGCAAGAGCATTGAAAGTGTATGTCACTTGAAAAGACTTCCCTATTTGAATATTTAATTGGTGGGGATAATTTGATCAAGACTATATGTAATTTTACCTGTAAACCAAATAATTTTTCTTTATATACTCCGTATAAAATACTCCCTCCGTCCCATTGGACTTGCCAACTTTCCTTTTTTGATTGTCCCAAAATACTTTGTCACTTTCCTATTAAAGCAACTAATTTATGGTTCTACACATTTCTCTCTTCTCTGCACAAATCTCAACCACACAGTTTTTACTATTCTTATTTCTCACCTACATTACATTTGTCAAAGTCCACTGGGACGGAGGTAGTAAACGTCATTTTAGAAGAACGAAAAAGGAGAAAGACCTTTTAATTCAAGGGAAATCGAAGGGACAAATGGACAATCAAGGGTCTTTAATTAATTGGAAAATGGGCAAATAAGCCCTCAAACTATATAATTGCGATTTTGCAATCAGGCACATGAACCGGAAGATTTGCATATACACCTCCAACTCCTTGAAAACTAAGCAATCCGATCCTTTTTACCTGTTGGTGCCGGTAATTTCTCATCTCCTTACCTGCATCAACATGTTAAAAAGAATCTGATTGCTTAATTTTCAATGAGTTGAGGGGCGTATTTGCATATCTTCCGATTCAGGGGCCTGATTGAAGAATGGCTAATAGTTCGAGGGTTTATTTGTCTCTTTTCTTTTAATTAATTACATTACGGAGTATTATATTTGCTGGCATCTAATTAGGTACCCGAATAAGCGTAGCCTCTGAGCGTGTAAGGATGTTGGGTAGTCCAAGCGTTGATGGGCAAGATCTCTTCATGAGACGGCGTCGTAATGACAGAATTGATGTTGAGCTCGTTGATTATGTATTCTTCCTTGTACCACCATGCTGAAACATAATTAAGCTATGTTAGATTAGATGTACGATCATTTCTGAAACACTTGTACATCCTTAATTACATAAACAAGATTAGAATTGTAAATCCCACACCGGTAAAATATATAGTGATAAAATACTATATTAAAACATAAGATACTACTTCAATCAAGTTGAATTATTATGATGGAACCCCGAGTCTTAACATGACATGAGAGTCAAATTTATCCATAATCAGGTGTGAGTCAAATTTATCCATAATCAGGTGTGAGTCAAATTACAAGTCAAATTGATCCATAATCAGGTGTGAAGCTACGAAAAATTACAACGCGGTTATTATAATGTTAAAGGTATATATTGATCCATTGGGCCTTTTACGGACCATTCCTCATGCCTGGCCCCCAAGGGGATTGCCTCATTGTCTATTTCCGGTGTTGCCCAATATATATAGCTGATCCTTATGTGTTTCTTTTCTTGGTGAGTTGCCTTCTGATATGCACTAGTTTATAGTGCATAAATGTATGTTTTTGTATTGACTTTGTGTAGATTTTCTATCATCTTTAGTTAGTTTGTAAAAATTTGTTTTATGTTGTTTGTAATTGTTTTTATCTTTCATGTATCGTTGTAGAATAGTGGTAGTGTTTTTAGCAAGGAAAATGAAAAAAAAAACTGAAGATAAAAATGTCCAGGAGCACAAAACCCGGTCGGGTCTGAGTTGAGAACCGAATCCCTGAGGAAATAGCTAGACCCGGTCGGGTCCCCTACTTGACCCGGTCGGATCAGATGTGACCCGGAACACCAGAACGTGCCAAAGATCACCGGAATGAGAGAATATCTAATTTTTGGTCAAACTCGGTCGGGTCCCCTACTTGACCCGGTCGGGTATGACTTGACCCGGGACATTTTAACGTGCTGAAACACAATAACGTGAAAGATGATCTGATTTTGACCGGTACCCGGTCGGGTAAGTACTATACCCGGTCAGGTACCCGGCCAAAGGTGTTGAAAAACACTTATAAATAGCACACTTTTTCTTCACAAATATCTATCCCTTCTTTTATACTCCTAAGCTCAGTTTAGAATAGCATTTCTTATATTTTTATAGCATGTTTAGTCTCCAAATGAGGAGCTAAATTTCCATTTCTTGGTTTTGCTCTTGAAGCTTGTTGCTTATTAAAGTTGTGAGTTATTTTCTTAACTTCTTCTCTTGATTATTAATTCTTCCCTTAATCTCATTCTATATTAATGTTGGAGGGTTGCTAAGTGATGATTAGTTAACGTTCCGACATTAATTACTACTAGAAACAATCAACGAACCGATGGTTAATCGTTGGTGGTTTCACAAGTAAGTAACTTCGGTTTATTAATGCACGGTCGTGGTTAATAGATTTAAGAGGGATCAATTTTATTGGTTAAACCGAAACCGTTGTGTTGAGGTTATCAATCTCAATTGATTTCATCAACGAGTTACTATATTTGATTAATAGTAAGGGTTATTAATGAACGGTCGTTGTTAATAACTACCCTCGATGAATTGGAGATACTCCTCGATTGAGTATTCGAGAGGGGATAAGTTATAGATATAACAAGGATCGACTAAAATATATCAGTCGATCCTTGAATTAAATCTCATATAAGTCGTTCATCTTAGTTTTTAATTTAATTAAATCATTCATCACCAAAACCCCCCTTTTATTTACTAAGTTCATAAAAAGAAATGTATTCCTTTCCCTGCGGATACGAACTCTACTTCACCTATACTACGTATAAGTGTTGGTATCGATTTATTTTGACGCACCGTGACAAAGTGCTCGTCACCTTCCCAATGATAAAAGGAGCGAGAGAGAATAAGAGTGAAGCATCATCGCGTTTCCCTGTGTGTGAGACCTTGTTACCTAGTTGTTCATCATTCGTATCATCTAGATCGTGTCATCGTTCATTTTTCTGATGGTTCACCCTTGTCAATTTTTACAACGCGTCGTCATTTTTATTGGGGCTCACTTCATGGTTATATATATCGATTTGGCTCTGATACTATGTTAAGATAATGAGATATTTCTCCTATTAAGTTAACCTTTTAGAATGAAACATTAGGTCTAATGTTTTTCTAATGGTTCACTTTTTTGTCTTTGTCGTTTTTCGTCTCACGTACACAAATGGTCTCAAATGTTTTTATGCATAACCCAAAAACTTGCCTGTGAAATTTCTACTACATGCAATTCTTGTACAAAAAATGTTGTATATTATTTATGTGATGGACATTTTTATTTGCTCACTTTGGTTACGCATATAATGGTGAGTCTGATCTAAGTGTACGTTGCGCGCACATGAACACTACTTATCTTACCTCAATCAAACCATATAAAAAAGATATAACACCATGATAAAGGACAAAATTTCCGGAATAAGACTAAAATAAGGATAAAATTCATAAATAGGACTATCGTTATTTTATTCTCAAAATATGACTAGCCGAATTAGTTGGCGGGTTGTCAGAAGATGTTTGGTAATTTAGCTGTTTGACCATAAAATTAGTAGAAAACGTCACGTTTCAAAACGCTAACCCAAAACTCTCGTATTTGTAGCATTTCCATTTTAGCGTTTCATAAAGAAAGTGTACGTATAGGAATATCATTGTTTTATTCCTAAAATAGGATGTATTCACTCTTAAAATTATACTTTAAATAAGATCAAATGAGTCATATTTCAGGAATACAATACATATAAATGCATTTTGTTTAAAGTTTAACTTTATTCAGAGCAATTGCTAAATAAAAAATAAATTAACGGCCACTCAACCTGGCCTCTTATATTTTATGTGATGGAAATAATTAATTATTAGGACCGATAAGAGGAGTAAAGTTTTGATTTTAATTGGACCCACTATTTCTCTGTTCTGAAAATAGGGCTTCATTTTTTAGTTATGTTAAATGATTAAAACAGCTAAAATCTTCTTTTACATAAAGTGAATAATCTTTCAAAATGTTAACACGGTTCTAGATCAGGCCTAAATAAATCAGACCAGACATTTATCAGACAAATTAGACTTAAACAGAACAGACCAGATTAGACATATACAGATCAGATTAGGTCAAAAAATTCGATCTAATTAAAAAAACCTAACATTCATAACTTTTACTCTCAGCTTCTTTCGAAAAAACAATTATTCACAACTTATTTGTCTTATATACTATCTTTTGTTGCAACATTGGTGAATTTACAGCTTTACTTTGGCTACGTTTTATTGATTTTTGTATTATAAATTACTCTGCGAAAATATTTTTTAAATTATTTTCATTTTGAATTTTTAAAATCATAATTTTTTAATTTTTTTTAGTAACAAAAATAAAACATATTAATGATAAAACTTATATGTAGGAAAATGTGAAAAATGTTCCTTTACAATAAAAGAGAATGGGATGAAGTATAATTCTTAAGCAAATGAATCACTTTTAATTTCGATCACTTATTTGCTAAATAGGATAACTGAGACTATTTTAATAATTTCCCAAACAACTATTCCTCCATTTTATTATTAAAATAAATTTTAAATATAATATTTTTATAGTTCATCCATTCATTCCATTTAACCGTTTCCATCAAACTTTAGCTAGCCTATTTCATCAAGTGAAATGTTACCTCACCAACTGATTTTCCAAAATAGGAGTATCATGTTTTTTATTCCTTGAATATGAGTAATCTGCCAAGTTTGAAAAAAATGTCATGTTTAAAGCCTAGTAATGCCAATTTGGCTGAAATTTACTCTTATTTAGGGAATAAAAAACATGATAGTCCTATTTTGGAATTTCAGAACTTTTTTACTCCTACTTAGGAAATTTACTCATTTTCTTCTAGCAATAGCCCTAATTTTTGCTCTATGTTTGTGTTATGCGTTTTTCAGAAATTACTCTAAATAGGAGTGAAAACGTTTTGAAATTCCAAAATAGGAGTATCATGTTTTTTATTCCCTTAATAGGAGTAATGTGCCAAGTTTGAGAAAAATGTCATGTTTAAAAGCCTAGTAATGCCAAACTTGACAGAAATTCACTCCTATTTAGGGAATAAAAAACATTACTCCCTCCGTCCCGGTCATTTCTTCCAAGTTTGACTTGGCTCGCAAATTTAGAAAGTGGGAATAAAGTGGAAATATATAGTTGTAGTTGTGTAAGAAAAAGGTAAATGAATGTGAACCACATATTTTTTCCAATAGTGTAAGTTGGAAGAATTAATTGGGACGATCCAAAAAGGAAAGTTGGAAGAAATGACCGGGACGGAGGGAGTATAATTCTATTTTGTAATTTCAAAACTTTTTTACACCTGTTTAAAGAATTTACTCTTTTTTTCATCTTTTAAAGCAATGAGGGTGTTAATGTAATTTTGACAGTTGTTGTCGACGTGTATATATAATTGGGTACCTTCAGCGTTAGCCAACTCGGCATCGACGTGGGACGGAAGGACCTTATTGTCCTTGTAATGATAATAACTCTCCGATTCTTTAGTGGTCACTATTATCCTCTTCAGCCACTTCACCATTCTGCCGCCGATGAACCCCGGAATAATCATCCTTACCGGAAACCCATGGTCCGGCGTCAACCTCTCTCCGTTTTGCATGTACGCCAGAATGATGTCTCTAGAAGGGTCCATCGCGATATCCCTTCTAATGCTCGTCCCGTACTTGGACCCTCCGCCGCCGCCGGGCAAATCCTCTGCCCCCTCAAAGCACACATTCAGGCCGCCGTTTCTCCGGCTGAACACGCCGCAGCGCTTGAGGACGGAAACCAGCGGAACCCCCCTCCACACGGAGGTGGAGACGGCGGCGGCGCCCCAGTTGAACCCGCTCGTCTTCCTGACCATGTTCTGTTCCTTGCGGCGGTTTCCGGCGCAGACTAGGGTGGCGGGAAACTCGCGGTATGGGAATTCGTTGACGAGTTGGGCCATAGTGAACTTCATGGGCCGCTTGACGAGGCCCGTTACCTCCACGGCCCAGTCTTCCCACGTGCCGGTGGGGACCGCACCGTGATTCCGGACGTAGTGGAGGGGAACCGGGGTTATGAAGCCGTGGCGCATTAGCCGGTCCAGGGGCGGTTCGGAGTTAAACGGATGCTTCCCGGTCAACCGGATCAGCGACGGGTTACGCGGGATCCAACGGTCGGAAGTATCGGCGTCTCTGACGTCATGAACCGACGGCTCTACTTCCGCGGAATAGTTGGCGGTGGCAAATTTTTCGTCACAGTAATCACCGTCACTGTCCGAGGAATAATAATCACCGGAAACTACGTCGGCGCCGCCATTAGGTGGCGGGAGGTCAGGATTGGACGGGAAATTGCAACCTCGGATAGGGGAGTTGCAAACATTTTGTCGGCCGGGCTCGAAGCGGCTGAAGCGGAGGTTTTGGACGGAAGCCGCCATGATGGGTGACGGTGGTGAAAAAGCGGAGGAGAAAAAGGGGTACAAAAGAAGAGAGCCTTTTGGCCTCTCCGAGTTTGAAACAACACTTCGAGTCTTTTTATGTTTTATTTGTTTGTTAGATTGATCACATGAAAAATATTGTTGGTACTTGACTCCTTGGTCTACTTCCTGTTGGAATAAATCCGATAATACTTTAATCTTCATATTGAAATTATCTGGAGAATTGACTAAGCGGAAGCGTACCTGACTCCATGGGAGATCACCTTTGGAGATCCGGGAGACGGAGGCTAGGGTTTGCATCTTCTAGCTGATACACGCCCTCGGGAATTATCTCTCTAGCGATGGGATGCAGAAAGACGGAATGACGCGTACAACTAGGGACCATAACCCCTTATTTATAGAGTGCTTAACCCTAATCAGCCCATCATTGATTAGGTCAAGCCCATGGGTCTCTACACATTTGGGCCCTATACCTTATTAGATAACTTATTAGCCCACTTAAATTAATATCCATAGGACCACTAATTTTTGGGCCTAAATATAAGATAGCATATAACATACAATTAAACCCGATAAATAATATATTGTGAATATTACATGTAGTATAAGTCCAATAATCTAACAATCTCCCACTTGGACGACATACACATGTATACATAATCCTTAGAATTGTATGTTTACTTTAGGAGCTCCAAATTTTTGCTATCAAACTGTAGTCATCCTTAATCAATCCGGTCCATTAATTATATCAACATAGGACCAAAGAAGTCTTTGCTATATTTGAATAACTAGACCCATCAATGATCACATATATTAATATAATAAACGACATGGATCAAGTATAGGTGTGTAGCGTGGAAATAACATATAGTGTGGTCTGGAATAGAATGTCTATTTCCAACTGGTCCACCCTGAGATCAATAATATAACTGTAAGAGTACATAAAACTTTAAACTTTATTTCTGCAGAAAATAACATTAAAACTTGAGTTAACCAAACATAGAAACATTACAAACTCCCACTAAAACTCATAATCCTCAACTTATTTGACACCCATTTGAGCAACATGCTCATGAAACAATTTGGGTGGTAATCCTTTAGTGAGCGGATCCGCAATCATGGAGTTTGTGCTAATGTGCTCTATAGATAACTTTCCTTCTTGTACTCGTTCCTTAACAGCCTTAAATTTGACCCCAATGTGTTTTGCCTTGGTCAAACTACTGTTGTTCTTAGCATAGAGGACTGCTGATCTATTGTCACACAATAACTTAAGTGGTCTTTCAATGCTGTCCACTATGCGTAGTCCACTAACAAAATTTCGCAGCCATAATGCCTGATTGGATGCCTCATAACATGCTATAAACTCTGCTTCCATGGTGGAAGTAGCTGTAAGAGTCTGCTTGATACTCCTCCAGGAGATAGCTCCTCCAGCTAGAATATAGATGTAGCCTGAAGTGGATCTCAAGCTATCTTGACATCCAGCAAAATCAGAGTCGGTATACCCAATGATCTCAAGCTGATCCGATCTCCGATATGTGAGCATATATTCCTTTGTTCTCTGTAAATACCGCATGACCCTTTTGGCTGCTTTCCAATGGTCCATTCCCGGATTGCTCAAATATCTGCCTAACATCCCAACAATGTATGCCAAATCAGGCCTTGTACAAACCTGGGCATACATCAAACTTCCTACAGCCGAAGCATAAGGAATGTTCTTCATTTCTTTAGATTCAAAACCATTCTTAGGGCACTGCATGAGACTAAACTTGTCTCCCTTAGAAACTGGGGTATCTCCTGGTTTGCAGTCTTGCATACCAAACCTTTTGAAAATCTTATTGATATAGCTCTTTTGTGAGAGTCCAAGAACGCCTTTGGAGCGATCTCGGTGGATTTGAATTCCTAATACAAAAGAAGCCTCACCAAGATCTTTCATTTCAAAATTCTTTGAAAGAAATCTCTTAGTTTCGTGTAATAAGCCTATATCGTTAGTAGCAAGCAGTATGTCATCAACATACAAGACCAGGAAAATATGCTTACTCCCACTGAACTTGTGGTATATACAATCATCACTGACGTTTGGTTGAAAACCAAAGGATATAATGACTTTATGAAACTTGTGATACCACTGACGAGAAGCCTGTTTGAGCCCATAGATGAATTTCTTTAATTTGCAAACCATTTTCTTTGAATCTCCCGAAACAAAGTTTTCTGGTTGCTCCATATAGATTGATTCCTCAATGTCACCATTGAGAAATGCAGTTTTTACATCCATCTGATGAAGCTCAAGATCAAAATGTGCCACTAATGTCATTATTGTTCTAAAAGAGTCTTTCGAGGATACCGGAGAGAAAGTCTCTTTATAGTCAATTCCTTTCTTTTGAGTGTAGCCTTTAGCAACAAGACGAGCCTTAAACCTTGTAACATTGCCCTTTGAATCCCTCTTGATTTTAAATATCCATTTACAACCAATGGGTTTAATACCTTCAGGGAATGAGACTATCTCCCAAACGTCATTGTCACTCATAGACTTCATCTCATCTTTCATGGCATTAATCCATTCTTGAGAGTTAGAACTTTCCATGGCTTGACGGAAGTTGATTGGATCATCTTCCGCAAAACCAACATCCGATTCTTGTTCTTGGAGGAAGACAATTATTTCTTCCACCAATTCCCAATTTTCCTCATGTTCTAGGAGAAATACAATATAATCATCCGGAATTGCGGTTCTCCTCTCTCGAGTGGATCTCCTTAATGGCACCTCAGGTTCTTGAGGTTGTTGAGTTTGATCCTCATTAACAAATTCAGGTACTTGATTGGGGATGTTTTCGAGATTGTCATGAACTGGAGTTGTTTCTTGAACATCATTAGGAATAAACATATCTTGATCCTGTTCAATGACAACTGAAGGAAGAGTAACATGTTCTTCCTCAAAGACAAAATCTCTAACCTTATCTCCCCACCCCCCAAACTCAATATCCTCAAAGAACCGGGCATTACCCGTCTCAAAAATAGTCCTTGTAGTGGGATCATAAAATTTATACCCCCTTGACCTCTCAGAGTATCCTACAAAATAGCTACTAACTGTTCTTGAGTCCAGTTTCTTTTCATTTGGCCTATAAGGCCTTGCCTCAGCTGGACAACCCCAAACATGGAAATGATTTATACTGGGTTTCTTTCCAGTCCAAATTTCATAAGGGGTTTTAGTTGTAACTTTAGTGGGAACTCTGTTAAGTATGTAAGCTGCAGTTTTCAGTGCCTCTCCCCAGAGTGAATCGGGTAAAGTAGTATGACAAATCATACTCCTAACCATGTCCTTCAATGTACGGTTTCGTCTCTCAGCAACACCATTCATGCTAGGAGTTCCTGGCATGGTGTACTGAGGAACAATTCCACACTCCTCTAGGTATTTAGCAAATGGCCCTGGACGTTGTTCACCGGAACCATCATATCTACCATAGTATTCACCACCACGGTCAGATCTAACGGTTTTTATTCTTTTGCCTAATTGATTTTCAACTTCGGCCTTATAAGATTTGAACACGTCTATTGATTGGGACTTTTCATGAATGAGATAAAGGTAACCATAACGAGAGTAATCATCTATGAATGTGATAAAATATGTTTGGCCATTTCTACATGGTGTAGGGAATGGTCCACAAATGTCCGTATATATCAATTCTAATAGATCTGAAGCTCTCTCGGCACCTAACCTCCGTTTGTTCGTTTGTTTTTCCTTAACGCACTCAACACAAATATCAGAATTTGAGGAGTCAAGAGAATCAAGAATTCCATCTGACACAAGTCTCTGAATTCTTTCTTTAGAAATATGTCCTAGACGCTTGTGCCAAAGTGAAAACGAATTCTCATTGGTTAATTTTCTTTTAGTACCACGAGTACTTACATGCAAGGTTTCATTATATGAGGTATTTATATCAAGTGAATATAGATTATCATAAACTGATAAAAGACCAGTACCAATAAGTTTTGAATCTTGAAATAGACTGAACTAACTATTTCCAAATGAACAAGAATAACCAAATTTGTCCAATGCAGAAATAGAAATTAAATTCCGCCTAAATGACGGCACAACAAATGTCTCTTTCAAATCCAAATAAAAACCAGTCTTTAATAATAATCTAAAAACACCGATAGCCTCAACTTCAACCCGCTTGCCATCACCGACATAGATGTATCTTTCACCATCAATTGGTTTTCGGCAGCTCAGGCAACCCTGCATAGATACACTTATGTGAGTAGTAGCACCGGAATCTACCCACCAAGTGTCTTTTGGTACCGAAATTAAATTAACCTCAGAACTAACAAGAGCAAGAGACATACCCTTTTTCGCACGCCAAGCATGGTACTTAGTGCAGTTCTTTTTCTTGTGATTAGTCCCTTTGCAAAAGAAGCATCCAGATTCCTTAGTTTCTTCCTTAGTTTCCTTGTGATGCTTCCTGGGAGGCCCCGAATTTGCAGCTTCCTTAATTTTTCTTTTATTGCTGCCCTTAGAGGTAGATGCTAAATGAGCACTTTCTGTCTTATCTTGCTTTATTCTCTCTTCCTCTTGAACACAATGAGAAATGAGCTCATTGAGAGACCATTTCTCCTTAATACAGTTGTAACTGACTTTAAATTGATTAAATTGAGAAGGAAGAGAGATCAAAACTAAATACACAAGCAATTCCTCAGGTAAAATAAGCTTCAGTGCACTTAGTTTTGAAGCAATGTGAGACATTTCCAAAATGTACTCCCTTATGTTCCCTTTGCCTTTATACTTCATGGAAACAAGAGTGCTCAAAAGAGTACTAGTTTCCGCCTTTTCGTTTTTAGCAAAACGCTTTTCAAGTTCGGCAAGGAACGATTTGGCATCAGCCTCATCAGACATTGTGCCCCTGAATGATTCTGGAATTGCATGTTTCATGATCATTAGACTCATGCGATTTGAGCGTTCCCACCTCTCCATCTCCCTCTTTTCATCGAGGGTAGATGTGTCCTTAAGAGCGGCGAGTCTCTCAGTCCGAAGTGCAAGGTCTAGATCCATGCAACCGAGAACGATCATAACATTCTCTTTCCATTCCTTAAAATTCGTGCCGTTAAGCACTGAGATGCTATTAATATTAGCAGATATTGTAGCAGCAGAATTATTGACTGAAAGAGAACAAAAAATAATATAAATGATATGCTCTAGGAATTGAAATTAATTTTATAATTAATTTTAAATTTAAATATTAGCAATCCCCATCACAAGATACCTAACGCAACACCTAATCTTGTCTTTGGACATAAATTAGACTTGCAAGTGGTACTCTTGGCGTAATAATAAAATTTTGATAATAAAATCATGTCAAATACAAAGCCTTTCTTTGGACCGACTTAATATTCACACGAAAAACTTCATAATCATCACAAATTTTATTATCACAAATGTACTTAAATTTCGGCCAAATAATAACCGTCCTTTGGGCCAATTATTATCCGCATGAAATAAGAAAGTACACAATCATCTTAATATATGAGTTAATTAATTTCAACAAGAGAGGCTACTTTGGCAGCATGTTGTATCAATTAACTAACTCAAATATTAGACATGCTAATATTAACTCGAAAAACTGAAAAATAAAATTGGGCAAAATTTTCTGAATCACATGCAAATGTGTTATGTATAACGAAATTTGTAAAACCTGTACTCAATCTTTATGTGATCACAAAATAGGGTTTATACATCCATAACACATAACACATTTTTAAACTGTAAATCATGATAACCAACAAAAGTAATTTATTTCCAAATATGCAATTGTAATGGAACTGACATTGGTTGTGATCACATATAAGTATTTAATTACCAAAACCGGTAATGACATGTATGTACTTAATTATCAAAGCCATAAAATTCCAAAATTGATTCACCGAAAAAGAAACTTATCAAACTTATTTGATGCACGTATTCTTTGGCAGACTCAAAAATTGAAATCAAATTAAATGATAAAAGTGACATGGATCACTCTTTTAATGACTGTAATTTTTTTTTAACAACATGAAGAACAAAAAAAAACTAAACTATCAATTAAGGTACATGGCCAGCACAAAAAAAAAACTGAAATTGTGAATAAGTTTCAATCATAGAATCATATCAGCCACATCCAAACAAAACAATAACGTAATAATTAACAACTCCATAAAGTGATAAGAACATACGTACTAGAAATCAAAATAAAACACCTATTATCGATTGATATGAAGAAAAAAGGACCAGCAATCGATCGGCACGGAGTACTGTGAATTAATCAAAATTGTTGATTCCACTAATTCTGTATCTGATCGCAATTGCGATTTGAATTAAGCAAAAGCTCCGGAAAAAAATGTCAAAACGGAGGATCCCAAACGGAATTGACTCCAACAGACTACAATATCTCCCTTATTCCATTTAATCGGCAGATTATATGACGATTCCGAAAATTCAATCGTTTAAAATTGAAACAAAAGTAGGTATACTCCAAATAATTCAATATGAAGGAGGTTCTGATACCAATTGTTGGAATAAATCCGATAATACTTTAATCTTCATATTGAAATTATCTGGAGAATTGACTAAGCGGAAGCGTACCTGACTCCATGGGAGATCACCTTTGGAGATCCGGGAGACGGAGGCTAGGGTTTGCGTCTTCTAGCTGATACACGCCCTCGGGAATTATCTCTCTAGCGATGGGATGCAGAAAGACGGAATGACGCGTACAACTAGGGACCATAACCCCTTATTTATAGAGTGCTTAACCCTAATCAGCCCATCATTGATTAGGTCAAGCCCATGGGTCTCTACACATTTGGGCCCTATACCTTATTAGATAACTTATTAGCCCACTTAAATTAATATCCATAGGACCACTAATTTTTGGGCCTAAATATAAGATAGCATATAACATACAATTAAACCCGATAAATAATATATTGTGAATATTACATGTAGTATAAGTCCAATAATCTAACAATTAATCCTTGGTCTACTTCCTACTTGAATACCCCTCCGTCCCCAATTACGTTTCTCGTTCGACTTCACACGTAGAAAATAAATTGACTTTACTTTTGAGTACATTGTTTTGCGCTGTTCAAACACTGTTTGACACTGTTTGGTACTGTTTCACACTGTTTTGATGTTGATAATTTGCCAAATAAAGAAAGTAAAGAAGTGTGAACTTAATTTAGAGACTGCCCAAAAAAGAAAGTGGTAACTTAATTGGGGGACAGGAGTACTTGATACTCTTATATATAGGGGTGAATACTTGTTCAAGACAACACTTAGATCAAAATTTGGTACTTGAATACTCTTATTTCAGATTTCACTAGATCATTTTGAACCAAATTTGGGTTCTTAATCAAAATGATTATTTTTTATAAACTTTTTTAAATACGGGATATCAATTATTTTGCGTATTTTATCTCACACGAAAAGATAGCGTTGTTTTCATTTTTCTTTGGATTACCTTTAGTTTTTTTATTTGAGGAGTAGGATTAGCTTTTCATATGGCAGAAAAGGTTATGATCAAGCAATTTGTAAGGTGCAGCTAAGGGAGGGTCAGCTTGATCCTGATCTAGTCCAAATTTTAAAAATGTTTATATTTCTAATATAAAAAAATCCGTGTAAAAAAATATCAAAAATATTCTTTGTACCGACTCAATCTGACCAAGTGCCCTGGCTTCACCCCTGGATATGTGTGAGCAAAATAAATTCCATTTTTTGTGTATTTTGGTTTGTGATCCGACCAGATATAAGAATGGGTTAAGTTGATTTGGGTAGCTATCAATTGATCTATTATTTTTGCATGAGTTCTATATGCAAACTGTGTTTGTTAGGTTGGGGCTTAAACTGTACTTCGTCGACCATTGTTTAGGATATAAAACTAATAAACTGAACTACACTAAATTAATAATAATAAAAGCAGGCCAATATGAACCATGTATTTTTATATGCTATTTTATCTTCAACTAGAAGACATGAACCAACATGCAACTATTTTCTTTAGGTGGGGGTCGAGGTACAGGGAGGGGAGGATTGATTTTTATTGTACTAATTTATCTAAATTTGTTAGTTTAGACCACAAATATTTTAATAGTTATGTATTTTTATATACTAATTTATCTTCAAGTAAAGTGGTCCTTAGTTTACAATTTTGAGCGTGAAATTGGCTAAATAGAAAATGCAAAAACAAAATAAATATATTAGAATTGAAAAAAAAAAAGAATCGTTCCAATCAATAATGATAGGACCAAAAGTAAAACTAATTCTAATAAATATGTAGTTGGCTAATTGGTGACATAGGAGCAATTATTTGGGATAAAGATTCTATGCTAATGAGTCTGTTGTACTCACTTTTATACAATTGTACGTATATTTGTACTCATCCCTTATTTTATCTGTGTACACAGACAAATACAGACAAAAATGTTGTCTTCTTGTTAACGAATTGTCTGTGTGCACATGCAAAATAGAAGGGTGAGTATAAAAGTGAGTATAAAACTGGATACAAACACATTTTTTTGTAAAAAGAAAGGTCGGAATTGTAAACCGGGGGCGGCAAATAGAAAGGAAAGGGTTGAGCATTTACATGCATTGGCCTTTTGAAGATGCTTTGAGCCATATTGAAGTCTGTGACTGTGATTTAAACCCCACTTCCAATTAAGCATATATTGTGTTGCCAAACAGTGCCTTAATTGGGAATATGAATAATTGATGCCCACGCTGAGAGTGAGACCTGCTGTCCAATCTTTTGTGGATGGAGAATATTCTACTCCTTTTAATTGGGAACTTAATATACATGAAATCACCACCACTCCTTCAGCTACAATCACCTCTTCTTCATATATACTCCGTACTACGCAATATATTGTGACTATTCCAAAATCTAAATGAAAATAATCACTCTGTTTATACAAGAGAAATGATTTTTTCAAACCATTTCTCAGTTCAGCCTAGGCATGGCAATGGGTCGGGTACTCGGCTCGGGGCGGGTACAGCAAGACCCGCTCGAGTCCAAACTTGTTGAACCATGCATGACCCGCCCCACCCTGTTGTAGTCTAATTAACTAGTATGCATTTCTATTTTTGTGAAGTTGTTACCACTTGAATCTACAAAAAGTTTATCTCTAAATAATTATTAAAAAACATATTAAATCAAAGACACCTAAAAATTTCAGAAATTAATAAAAAGTACTTATACTTGAACAATCAGTCTATTTATATTAATGATTGAATATATAAATTAAAATGCTATATATAAAAAAGACATTGATAATTCGTCGTTCATCTCATTCAAATATAAATATTAATATATTATAAGACCAAAGAATTTATGATTTATTGTATACACACATATGTGTGGAGAAGTATATTTGTAGTATAATTTTTTTTAAAGTATGTTTACTTAAATATTGTGCGGGTCGGGGCGGGGCGGGTCAGAGCGCCACGGGTCAATAATAAGACCCAGACCCACCCCATTGTATGGGCGGGGCGGGGCGGACCTGCCCCATTTGCAAGACGGGGCGGGGTGGAACCGTCCCAAATGTCTCAGGCTAGGGCGGGTCATTGCGGGCCGAGTTTTTTTGACATGCGTAGTTCGGCCGCCTCCATTTGAGGTATTTTCGAGTGGAACTTTTGGTGAAAGTTTATGAGCACAGAGCACGTTCTTTATAAAGTGTAGGTTAGTTCCATATAATTTTACCTTAAAATTCAATCGGGGATATAATCTATATTTGATGAAAAACATATTCACAAATTTCCATAAAAAACTCCACTCGAAAACACCTCATATGGAAGTTGCCAGGGAGTCCATGCCTAATTTATGATCCCTCCATACTTGAAAGTTTGCTATATTTTCTCATTTAGGACGTATTTAAAAATTTGTTACACTTAATTTTTGGTAAGTTTTTTCTAGAAAAAATACTCAACTGTTGTAGGGAAGTGAGAGAGGTGTGTTATTCCAATAGGTAGACCCTCTTTAAAAAGAGGAGAATTAGGTTTACACAAGGGTTGGGCTTCTCGGACCCATTAGCTCAGTACATAATATATTAGTGAATATTCTATCTATAATGACAGCACACTACAAGTAATTTCCTTTAACACTCCCCATTGTGCTGAGTTGTAGATAGAGTGTTGCACTCCCTGTAGCCTTGTGGAAACTTCGTCAAGTAACAAAAAAAACCTGTGGGAAAAATAAACCTTGACAAGAGACTAGAGTTTATTGGACTTCATTCATTGAGTCCTTTTGGATTCTTTACTTTGATCGATATTCACAGTTACCTCGTTAAAAACCTTACCAAGTAACAAAACCCCAATGAGAGAAAAATAAAGCTTGGTTTAAGGAAAAGAGTATAACGTGAGGGTGTAAGACTCCCCCTGAAGTCTACACCTCCCCCTGATATTTACATTAATCAGGGGATTTCAGAAAACTTACGCATTCCAATGTTTTTCACATGTTTTTCGAATGTGGCCTTGGGCAATGACTTGGTAAACAAGTCTGCTACATTTTCTTCCGAACTTATTTGATTTACTTGGATCTTGAGGAAGGCCTGTCGTTGCTGATTATAGAAGAACTTAGGAGATATGTGTTTTGTGTTGTCACCCTTGATGTATCCTAATTTCATTTGTTCGATACAGGCTGCATTATCCTCGTAGATGCAGGTTGGCTCTTCAGTGGTAGACTTTAAACCACTAGTTCCTCGAATGTGTGCAATGATAGCTCTTAACCATATACACTCACGGACCGCCTCATGTAGAGCAATGATCTCTGAGTGGTTCGAGGAGGTAGCCACAAGGGTTTGCTTAGTTGATCTCCAGGATATCACCGTGTTCCCGATTGTGAAAACATAGCCAGCAGTTTGGGAACGGCCTTTGTGAGGGTCGGAGAGGTACCCAGCATCAGCAAAACCTACCAAGACATCATTTGGGGTTTTCAGGGGGGTGACCATTTTGTCCTTTGTGATAATGTGTTGTAGGGAAGTGAGAGAGGTGTGTTATTCCAATAGGTAGACCCTCTTTAAATAGAGGAGAATTAGATTTACACAAGGATTGGGCTTCTCGGGCCCATTAGCTCAGTACATAATATATTAGTGAATATTCTATCTATAATGACAGCACACTACAAGTAATTTCCTTTAACATCAACTACCTTACTTTTTATTTTTCTTAAAAAAACCTATTCATTACGTCTTAAATAGGGAGAGAGTATATGGTACTAATGTAAAATGTAATACATAGTACTAAGTAGCAAGTAGTATTAACATAGAAACTAGAAAGAGTTATCTACCACCTTTCTTGTAATTCAAGCTCCCTCAATATTTGTGACCAATATGTTATGTAGTGTTAATCTATACCTTGACATAGTCGTGGACTCGGGCTGGGCCTAGGCCCGGGCCGGGTCTAGACCCGGTCTGGCCACCGGTTTGTATGACATGGGCCCGGGACCGGCCCGAGGGTTGGACGGGTCCGATTCGGGCTGTGTCACCCGCCCGGGTCACGGGTCGGGTCGGACCGGTTAAAGAATTTTTTTTATAATTTATATTTTATAGTTTATAGTTTTATACAAGTATTAAAAACAAATTTCAAGTGCATTTATTTGAAATGAAATAGGAACTTCATTTGAAAATTAAAACAAACTTCAAGAGACAAACATTTTGTAAATTGTAATCAATCGGAACTTCCCGCACCTCCCGATCCTTTGGTTTTTGTCACATGACTTCATATGCTTCATTGTCATCCTGTATCCGCCTGAAACCCCCATGCTACATTTTTTCCCGCACCATTTGCAAGTTGCGTACCACATCCCGATCTTCGGGTCCTTCTGCTTATCAAAATTATACCGTATAACGGCATCTTGATTTTCCATCTTAAGTATAAAGTAGATATATAAATAATAAATATAATATATTGGAGAATAAGAGAATTAGAGAGTAGAGAGTTAAGAATAGGATTTAGGAAGAATTGGAGAAGAGATATGAAAAAATGTTTAAGATTAGGAGTATTTATAGGTTTTTTACCTCCCCCCCCCCCCCCCCCCGGACCCCCCCTGCACCCCACCCAACGGCTATATAGCCGTTTGGGTTGTCCCCAGCCCACCCCCCAAGGCCATAACGGCTAGTTTGGGGCCCAACAAAAAAAATTAAATTGGACCGTTGGACCCGGACCCGGACCGGGTCAACTTTTTCAGGAACCGTACCCGCCCCGCCCCTCCCCGCCGGTTCGGGTCTACACCCGGTCCCGGGCCGGTCCCGGGCCCGCACAGTAGCGGACCGGGCCGGGTCACAGGCCGGGTGGCCCGAACCGAATCCACCCCTACCTTGACATCATCAGTTTATCACTAGTTCACTGCCGCATGATATACTCGTATGATCGTATCATGTTTCACCAATTTCTGTATTTTAAATAATAATAATAATAATAATTTAAACTTTCAAGTTTTCAACCATTACTGTCCAGAATATCAATTTACCTTTTGCATAAAAAAGAATTTCAATTTACCAGTCTACTTAATTACTTTGTCAGAACAACGGTTCAACCATTAGGAACTGAAGTTTTCTCAGATAGAGAGTGATAGACACTATAAACGCATTTTAACGCCTTTAAAACATTTTAAACAATCAAGACTGATTCACTTTTGAAAATTCAGTAATATTCAATTTGACAAGGGGTGGATTCGGGCCGGGGCCGGGTCAAGCCTAGGCCCAGACGGGCCGGTGGTTCTGAATAGGTGGACCGGGGACCGGCCCGGGTAGCCACCGGGTCCAGTCCGGACCTCGGGCTTGGTTAATTTTTTTTTTTTTGCTTACCTACCTATGGATGTACCCGGGCCGGGGCCGGGGCCGGGCCAGGCCGGGGCCGGGCGGGCTTTTTTTGCAATTCCTTGAGCCCGGAACCGGCCCGGGTTGCTACCGGGTTCGGGCAAGGGCCCGGTTCAATACTTTTTTTTTGCTTTCTTGTTATCTCCCAACCCCCCCCCCCCCCTCACTCCCCCACCCCCCAAACCTCCCTAAAACACCCAGCCCAACACTAGGAAAAGAAAAAAAATTGAAAAAAAAAAAAATTGACCCAAGCCCGACCCGAACCGCCAGGCCAGTTCGCCCAAAACTGGGCCCGAGCCCGGCCCACCCGAGCCACCCACACGGGCTAAAAGCCCGGAACCGGCCAACCAAGCCCGGTCCGGTCCGGCACAGTAGCGGGCCGGTCCGGTTCCGGGTTGGTTCGGCCCAGCCCAATCCATCCCTGTACCTACCTATCCCTGACCCCCCCCCCCCCACCCCCACCCCCCAAACCCCTCGTAAACATCAAGCCAAACCCGAGCGGAGCCCAAAAAATGAAAAAAATGAAAAAACATTAATTTGGCCCGAACCAGGCCTGGGCTCCTTTTTACCAACCCGAGCCCGTCCCATTTTTACCAAATAACCGGGCCTTAGACCAGTTTTGGGCCCGAAGAACCAGGCCGGGCTGGTCCCGCACAGTAGCGGGACAGGCCGGGTGGCCCGAACCGAGTCCAACACTAAATTTGACAAGATCTAACGGCTAAAAGAAATACTTGATGTAGAATTGTAGACGAGTAAACAAGTTTAGTCGATACTCACAATTTAGTCGCCCAGCCCCGACTTGTGATAAACAAAATGCAAATGAAGAGAATCTCATCACCCAGCCCCGACTTGATCACCCCTCAGAAGAACAAATTAGTCGATACTCACAATTTGTGAATACAAATTTTAAAAGCTACACGGAACGAATGAAATACCCTAATCATACAAGGAAAAACTACAGTTCTCAAAGACAAACCTTACATAGTTACATATATACAATTCATACAGATGAACGACCCCTACAAAAAACAGTGGACGACAACAAATACGGAGTGCTACGCTAACTTGCTAGAGCGTTAAAAATTAATTGAAAGTGGAAAAATGAGATAAGAACTGCAATCACCCTAGCCTTAGCCATAGCAACATTTCTTCCTAACCAAAGAATACTAAAAGTTTGGTCACAAAAATCAGTCCATCTCAATTCCATTCTATAAATCAAATTGCGGTGATGAAGGAACATAGAGTCCTAATGGTGCATCCAGCTTGTAGGGGAGCAGCTTGCGATCTCAAGAATAAAACGATGGCAATCTTCAATGGTTTAGGCAAAGATATCTGTTCACACAAAAGCAAAATGGAAGTTACACACCAATAACAAAAGCAAGGTATCAATTATCCATTTAAACTGAGAGACACTAAAAAGATGAGATCATCTGTGTAATTAGCTGGCCAAAGTGAAGTGAACTGTGAATCACAAATTCCCAATAATAATAAATATAAGTGTGAAACAGCCTAACAGTTGGAATAACATATATAAAACAGTTTTGGATAGAGAACCAGTCCCTATTTTAAGTGCAGAACTCTAAACATACAACACAGAGAAAACTGCTGGAAGAAAGAGAGAACAATAAAAGGAGTATGAACCTAATGAAGGAAATCACTTACCATTCGCAGCAATAGTTTTTTAAGCCTCCTGCCTGTCTAAACAGCGAGGAGAAGCTGAGCCTGAGGAGGAAGCAGTGAGAGGCCACTTCACGAATGGGTGCTCCAGTAACTGAGAAGCAGTTGGACGAGCTGCTGGGTCTACTTGAAGACAGCAGTTTATAAAGTCTCTTGCATCATCTGAGAGTGCCTTGCTAACATGAGGCGGTTCACCCTTCCCAATCCTAAAAATTGCCTGCATATGCTATTACAGAGGAGGGGGATGAACTGTGAAACAGTATTACAGAAGAAACCCTAAGGTCAACCCATCCCATGTTTTGTCAAGGTGAGATATAGTAATCAGATGAAAGACATAAAAGCTGATTAATATATCATATTATTAACTCATTACTCATGTACATTTTATATACTCCCTCCATCCCACTAAGATTGTCTTATCTTTCATTTTTGGTCCATCTCACTAAGATTGTCCCGTACCAAATTTGGTAAAGTTAGTGTGCTTCTCAATCATTCTTACTTTATCAATTCAGCATCAATCACATAAATCCACTTTTCTTAATAACTGCACCTCCTTTTCATGTCCCAATGTTAGTGGGACGGAGGTACTAGCAAATAGTGAACTGCATATTCATGTCTGAAATACCACACCATTATATATATGAAGCCATGCAATAGTAAGACTCCACTAATATTTAGCAACCATATTTTAATTGAATATAATTAACAATCATTAGCACAGTTGTAACTGATGCTTTATAGCCTTCTTGAGGCATTTTTGACGAAAATTATATACTAATTCAATCATCTTTAAGAACGTCTACAATACAAGCATCACGACTCACATGCTGCTCTCTTGGAGCATCCTTCTAAGAAATACAAACTGACATATAAACAAAGTAGCCCGCTATTTCATGGGCAACACGACTCACAGACTGCGCAACATGTTTTAAACGGATATGATTATGGAAAGACTCGATATGTAAAATAACAGCAAGCAAATTGTCAATGTATGAGGCTATGAGCATCCAATATCTGAACGAATGCCATATTAAGCAAATTGAGTTATAAGTCAATAATTATAAAGTGAAAACTAAAATATTAGATCTTGCAGTAAGTGGACCAAAAACGGTATGGGAACAACAGTTTGAGGACCAAATATGCTTTTTACCCAATAACAAATAGCAAAACATGCAAAAGAGAGAGGAGTTACATTCTCTAGATTGGAATAAGGAAACTGGCGTGTAAGCATTTCCAAGACGGTGCATCCAAGACTCCACATGTCTGCTGAAATCCCATAACCACCACCCTTCCTGTTAACCACCTGCAGCCAGAATTGATATTACAAACTACAGGCAACACCTACCAAAGGAATAAAGGATTACACTCCCAGTTTAAGAAACATCGAACTCTTGAATTGTGAGGTAATCATGAACACTAAAACCACCTAAAAAATTAGTAAAATATAGGGGGGGACTAGATTATTTTCTTGAATAGCTAGTTGACAAACTGTTCTACCCTTATTGTTTTACTACATAAAGATGAATAAAATTCAGCAAGCAGCTTATAAATCAAAACATAATGCCACTGTTATAAGAATTACATCGCCACTAGTTTCCCTTTTAAAATGCTAGATGCCCAACAATGACATAGCCATCACTTGATGTTGGGGTGAGCCAGACTAAAACTGAAAACACTTCACCCATATAAAATTTAATAGAAAAAGTTTTACAAAGAATCAAACGCATTGAGAAAAAACAACATTTAAAGTTATTCAGATATATTTGACCTATGTGTTTTCTCACACTGATTTGCACTTAGGTAACTCAATAGGTCAAAAGTATATGTAGTAATTCAAATTGGACAAGATGTGGGGTCAGTTGGGCAATTTCAAGTTTTCAATTAGCTTGATAACTTCTCACATAATTTTGTATTGCCAGTATTAAGTACTTAAGAATTTAGGTGCAAAAAGATTACAAGTCCATTTTTGGAGTGTGCCAGGCCAGGTAAGGCCCCTACCCAGCTCTGCAGATGCCCGAATTTTCAAACATGCTAGGCGCCACACGAGCAGCATACAGGCATGTAGCAGTGTTTGCAGCCGCGCATAATTCGAATATGATATTTGCTCCAGAATAAGCAACAAATCTTTATTAAAGATAACTGATAATGGATTCCGCATCAATACTTCAAAACTGAAGCTACTTCTCAAGTTTTTTGTTCCTCTCATGTCAAAAGTTATTAACAAGATGCAACCAATTAAGAAACATATACCTAGAAGCAGCTTGATAAAATTAAAAAATTAAAACCCAGCTAACCAAGGATATATTAAACTCCTAACGGTCCTTAATTAATTGTATATACATTCTTGCCACACAAAAAATTAATTGAAGACATTATATGCAACGGTAGAAGCAAATCCAGCAGTGCAAGACAAATCAAACAGAATATTTATCCACTTAATAAAAGTATGGCATGATTCTGCCCCACTGATTTCATTACCAAACGGTAATCTGCCAATATACTAGGACTTTTCACACCTGGTTATAGTTAACCGTTTCTACAGTACAACTCTTCAAGGAATAATGTTGCAAACTCCTTATTCTGGCAGTTTACATTACTAATCCTCAGTCAAATCCACACAAATACATGTTTAATTAGCTCTCTATGTATTTTAAAAATATAAACGAGATGAAGGAACCAGGGCCAACCTCAGGAGCCATCCAGAAAGCAGTGCCCTTGCAAGACTTCACGTCGTTCAGTTTAACGGACTGCACAATGTAACTGCAACATCAGACTCATTGCATCCTCAAAAAAGTTTTTTCAAGAATTAAATATACAAATATCAAAGATCTGCTTTAGAAGAAAGGAGTGGCATTCACAGGTACATCACAAAGGAGGTTGAGATAATACTCTCCTACCTTTGCAAGGCCGAAATCAGCAAGTTTGACTGACCCATTTGTATCCACCAGTATGTTTGCACATTTAATATCCCTAAATACAAATTAACAAAGACATATAAAACTTATTAAAAGTGACTTTGTCGAGTTAAACCAAGAATTGTGACTAGTATTTCAAAATATAAAAGAGAATAAGTAATATTAATGAAATTAGGAGTTGTTAATTTTTGTTGACTAGAGAGGGATAAGGTTGAAAAGTGTTAATCTAACTTGACCAACTTTAGGAAAGGGCAATAGGGTAAATGCTTGTGTGATTAAGGTCATGTCCAGCTACACGTGAAACCATGATAGCACATGCCACATGGTAATGCAATGCCTAATCAGCGATATTTGCATAGTGATATACTAATGTTGAGGAATATTAACGCCAAACTAAGAACATGTGGTCTAGGTGGAGACAGGGGAGTGAGCTTGGCCCCCCCTATCTAAAAGGTCTTTGGTTCAAACCTTGCGAATAGAGCAATGGGTGTGATTGAAAGGATACCAGGGTCTAAGGCACCAAAAGGATGCTACCACTGACCATGGCTAATAAGAAGATAAGCATAAATGCATACAAGTACACTCCTTCCACTGTCCATTATTACATCATTTCAACTATTTGTTTTTAGGCTGAAAATGGTAATAAACTTTATTCTCCAAACCAGGATTTGAGATCACAATCCTTGGTGTTTAAATAGTTCAAGATTCTCACTCATATGTGCAAGCAAAGTTGCACATTACACACAATTTTTTTATAAAAGTAACAGCATTTTGTAATTGAGTATCTCTAACATTAAATTATAAACAGGAATATGTGGAGAGCTCATCAGCATTTTATTTTTCATATTGTCAGGCATATGCTAAACCAAAGGATCACTATGAGAAGAAATGTATGGCATGAGCAAAATAATCTATGAACACTTCATTAGTCTGATCACCTGTGGATAATATTTTGATCGTGCAGATACTTAAGCCCATGCAAAATTTGCCTCGTATAACCAGAGACCTGGGAATCTTGAAGACGATATTTCTGATACAGTTCCAGAAGTGATCCCTTAGATACTAACTCAAGAAAAATATATAGTTTTGAACCATCCTGCAAAAGGGATGACAAATAAATAAAATTAAAAGTTGGAAACAGAAACTTGGAAGGAATCACATACTAAGATAAAACACTATTTAGAATTAAACTGCACTGAAATTGATTATGCATAGATCATGTGAAAGAATTGTAGTGAAAGTAGATCCTAAACAGAGTCAGAAATGCATAGAATAAAGAATAATTGAAGTCATAAATGATAACACGGTACATACAAATTCATATTGCTTTGGGAGCAGATGAGTGGAAGACTATGCAGTATGATGAGAACTGTTTTATCCGCAAGAGGATCAAAGCATATGGTATATTTACAGAAGTTGCTTTACTTTTGAGAAATACATTGTGCGTTGGAGTGAAAAACGTTTAGCACAAACAAATTGCATGTAAAAGATAACCTATTAAGAGAACATATATTACCTATAACTTCAGAAAGAATATAAGATTTTAAGTGAAAGAGGCAGTACCTTCTCTGTTCCATAATACTGAACAATATTCTCATGTTCAAACTGCCTTAGGAGAGCAATCTCCTGATTAAGAGAAAGAAGAACAAATGGAGCAAAGTTAAATAGTCGTACTGTTCTTCTGAATCCCCTTCTTGTAATAATGTAGTACGGAGTATTTTATAAAATACTTTTACAGAAGATATTTGAAACATATTCCCGTGTAGCAGACTATATATGACCAAGATACTCTCCCTTAGAATCCATGCATCATGCAACAGGTGCCTCCATTTCTCACCCCTCTCCCATTTCCACATATTTAAAGTTCATCTTATCCAGCACACATTCAGTTCCCCGTTTACTTTTACCTCTTTTTTCTCTGATTTGCTCACCCATTTCTTTCCACCCACCACTCCCACCAGAGCACAGTTATATACAGCCTAGGATTCCTAATAGAGTTAAGGATAATATTCCTTATTGTTAATTTCCTAATAGTAATTATTAGTATTTAGTACTAGGAGTGTCACTTTCCTAGTTATAATGCTCTCACAATTCTACATTTCCGATTATGAGCTTTGGTAATAGCTGTATAAGAGTCTACAATATTGATTAATAAACTGCCATTTAAGAATTACTCTTGTGTCTCTTGACTAGATGGGCACCAACTAATGTAATTTACTTTAGGCTTATTTTGTTCTTCTCGATTCATAAATTATAGATCCAAAAATTCCGATAGCCTCTCCCACTCTTGACTCTCATGTTCTTTTTTGCCTCATAAATCTGAGACCACCCTCATAACAATCACACTATGAGAGTAGATGAAGATAGAAAAGGAGGAACTATGAGATTATAGGTGTTAGCTATTAATTACATGAAATTGCAGTAATTGAATCCTGACTAACCCGTTCGAGGTTACAAATGCGTTGCCTTCCTTCTTCGCATTGATCAAGCAAAGAAACCTCTTTTACCGCAAAAAAGAAGCCACCACTGAAAAAATAAATTCAAATAATAGGAGTTAGGATAACAATTTGCCCGCCTACATCTAACATTTTTGCAATAATAGCTTGATAGAATTGTTATTTTTGGTTTTACACTCTAAGGAACAATGTTTAGTAACATTGGTTTATTTTGACAATTTGACCTCACAACATCCACAGATCCACCCAAAAAAGAAAAAGAAAGGGAGCAAAACAAGGTGTCATTTTATTATTTTGTAAAATTAGGAAAGGATGATGAATATTACTTTTGATGTGACAAATCATACCAATAACAATAAAAACCACTAAGTTCCTTATTCTTCTCACTCTATTTTCATGAGAGGCCAAGAAGTACAAAATACTCCCTCCACTGCCATGGCAACCCTATATGTTAGGATGTCTTTTCTCTTCCTCTTGAACATTTCAGTGACCCCTCTTCAACCCCCTTTTTATCCCGAAGCAAAAGAAGATTTGATAAGAGAGGGTGAATGAGGTAAAGATAGACAATATAGCACCAAAGAAGTCTACAAAAAATGATTTGGTAGTAATCAGAGGTCCTAATCTTAATTAAGTGTACGGTGTACCACTGCCTAGACTGGTTGAAATCTGGTGATTACCATGCTTTAAAATGTTGCATTTTCCCCTAGATTTAGGTGACTTTTAGCTGATCGATATATGTATGCAACTCTCTCTATATGTGTGTGTGTGTGTACACACACACACACATATATACATACCTTGACTTGCATCCTTCACAAATAAGCCTTAATCTATTCTAGACATGTGTTCTATGATCAATGCAGAATTTTATTCCTCAGGAAAAAAACAGTTTTCTCTAGTCAATCAAAGCCAGTAGACACTGGTAGAAAATTTTGCCCTTTGTAGATAGCTAAGGCACTTCAATTTATTGGAATCTTTCTTAACAAGAAAACAAAGAAAAGAAACATGGTGACAAGTACTCACTCTGCCATGCCTTCATAGACTGTTCCAAACGATCCACTTCCCAAGAGATCACCTTTCACCCAGCCTGTAATAATGCGATTGAATTTCCCATTTGGGGAGATGGCTGACATTGGCTCAGTTGTGGTGCTTGAAGAATCATCGTCATTTGAATTTGTGGTAAATGAACAACCAGCTGAGAGCACACCATCCATTATTCTTGTGTCTATATTGTTTTCCACATCCCCAGTTTCCCCAGCCCACTCCACAGAACTCTTTATATACCCAACTTCGCCTTCCAGCCTTAACCTTTCCTGAGGTGTAAAATCCAATTCACTGTCATCATTGGGCCCAAATGAATTCACAATATCCCATGTTGAACACGAATCACCAATGACAGGTAAAGATACTGTTGGCGTGGTAGCCATAATAGGAGGAGGCTTGAGACCTTTAATCCCTCGAGGGCCATCATTACAAGAAAATAATCTGGCAGACTCAGCTCCGTCCAAAACGACATCATCACACCTAAGAAGATCTTCTAATCTATTCACTATTCCACTATCCGCAAACTCCTGAGGAGTGCCAATTGCACCAATACCACAATCAGTTTGCCTTGGATTTACCATATAAACCTCGGAATGTTCACAAAAGTTAAGATTAGTAGCATCACGAAGAGGGGGGTGGGCATCCGAATACGATCGCGCTTTCATCGCCTCCCATTCGGCAGCTGGAATTACGAAGTCGTCAGCAGAAAATCCCAAGTCTCTGAACATACCTTCAATTCCTCCATCTGACCCGTCAATTCGTAAGCTCCTTGTGCTGTCCAGGTCCAGCGATCGGCTGCCGAATGAAGATGAGTTGGACGGCTCGTAGTCGACGTTTCTGAGAGCGACGCTGCGTTCGAGCTTGGGCGAATGCTTGGTGGTTGTGGATTTACCTCGGCTGCTGGACTTTGAGTCCATACGCTTCTTATGACCTAACGTAAAAGGCAATCGATACATCTCGATGCCGAGGTCGGGCTCGACCCATGTAATCACTGTACCAGTGCTCTAAAGGTAGCAGCAGGCAAACATCAACAGTGGTCTTTTCCTATGTTTCGGGATGCTGGTTCGACGAGGAAAACTGATAGAGTTCCGGGAATGGGGGAGAAAATGAAACGCAGCCGCCGCGGGAGACAAGAGAGATGCACACGGACAAGAAGACTGAAAACGCGGTTTAGAGCGTAGGGGTTTGTGACGCGTTTGGTTCCTCTACAGTGAAGAATTCCACTTGGAGAGACGATCAGCCAAAAACAAGAAATCTCTTTTTGTTTTCTATTTTCATTTTTCAATTTTTTAAATATTTTTATTTTTTAAGAGCCCCTTTGGTAATATTAAAATTGACTGATTCTGCTGAAATTTATGAAGTTCTGGCTGAAGTTGATGTATTGGCTGATTCTGTTGTATTTAAAATATTTGTTATTAATAAATAAAATAAAAAAATTTTATGAAAAAATAGTTAAATTATCATCTACAGTAACTTCAGCCAATACAGCTGAAAAAGTAACTTCAACCTTATTTTTTCTGCTTATTACATAATTCAACGCGCAAAACAAAAAATTACGTGTTTGATGAAAAAGTTGGCTGATAAGCCTGATAAGCTGAAAAAAGGGGTCACCAAACGGGCTCTAAATGTGAACACATATAGGAAAAAAGTGAACTCTCCTTCTATAGGGTTTCGCTCTTCCGCTTTATTCATTGACGAAGAGCGGTCGTCGTTCTTTGGTCGTGCAGGCAGCCTTGTGATAAAAGATTGTAGCGATTTGGTGGTCGGGGTTCGCCTTTTGCTGGTGGCTCTAGTCGGCGATCGAGCGTAGAAGAGAAGGGGGATAAGCTGTGTCGGAGCAGTGGTTCGAGTCGACAGCGAGATATTCAATGGAGGATATGGTCAATCAATATAAAAGCATGGCTATTGGTGGGGATGGTGAGGAGTTGAATTTTGATGATGATGATGAGGTAGGCGAAGTTGAGACGGATGAGCACCGGGTGAATTTCTTGGTGGTTGGCATCCTGCTTACCGACCGAAAGATAAATTCAAGATATTCAAGGACCTTATGGCCTCTCTGTGGCGTCCAAGCAAAGGTGTGACAATTAAACATATCGAGTTTCCCTGAATATGACTAGTTATGTTTTTAGACATTTGTATGTCTGAAAAGTGAAAAATATAAAGAAAAATTCGTTCATATTAAAAAAAAAGTGTTTTTATACTATTTTCGTCCAATTAAAAATAATGCACTTTATATTGCAGTTACAGCACGATATTACTGCACATCAGGTAAATATCACTGCACTTCCGCCATTATTAGTTCTCTTCTCATCCAATTTATAAATTTATTTATAGATTTTTTTTGGATTTAATAATTTTTTCATTTTACATCCAATTAAACATATTGAATTTCATGTTGGTGTTACTAATCTACATTATTTCACTACTGGTCATAATCACTGCACTTCCATCAACGTCATAACACGATATAGGGTCTTCGATTCAATCCACAACATACTCCATCAATGCATTTATTCACTATCCATTTTCACTACCCGTGTTTAATGCCCACAAACCATACTTTAATGAACTTTAATATCATATTGGATGCTTCCTCTAGTGCCCCTTTTACACCTTTAGCGGTGCTTCAAGGAGAAAATTATAGGGGCCATACGGTTGGAGTACTAGGCTAAGCCCCCACTAGTTGAAAAAAAAGCTTATGAAATTGTTGGGTCATTCGAAGAAAAAAAACAGAGCATGTGGATTGAATTCGCTCTTCATTAAACTATGTGTCCCTTACCTTCAACCTATCTCCCTTCAACTTTGCTCAGCTTTAAAAGCGCGAAATACGGGATTTGATTTTGAAATCTGACGGCTGTAGGTAGGCGTAGGGATGGATGGGCGCAACTGGGCGCGACTGGGCAAGGGCGCGCATAGATCGGGACGGCAGCGGCGGCGGGGCACTGGCGGCAATCTGGGCGATGGTTGTGGTGAGTAGGCATGTGGCTGGCGTGGCCGAGAAAGTAAGCGATTGGATGAACCGGTGGCCGAGCAAGCAAGCGACTGGATGCATCATGCTCCTGGACAACAACGGGCGGCATGCCGTGAGACGGTGGCGGTGGATGGCAGGTCGTGTCGCGGTGGTGGCAGGTGGAACCCTATAGGCGGGGAGAGTGGAGACTAGAGTTGGAGAGAATAGTGAGTTTTTTTTCGAATTAATGCTAATTAATTAATTAATTACGAAAATAATGTTGGGTTAAAAGCATTTACCGATCTACTGGTGGATGTAACCATGGTCGGGGTAAGTCGCCAAGCGGTTGGGCGACTTATAAGTCGACTTATAAGTCGCCCAACCGTTTGGCGACTTACCCCTTAAATAAACAGACGGATCGGTTTTGTTAGATAGAATGCACAACATCCCCAAATCCCCCAAAGCTTCAGCGACGAAGGACGAACGACAAGAGCCACTCTAACTCCGGCGAACCTCCATCTCTAGCGAAGCCACCTTGTCAAGGACTCTCCACCTCCATCTTCTTCAATACTCTTTCTTCTAGGTAAAACAAAGTCAATTTTCTTCTCATATTAAAGTTAGGATTTTTAGAATCTACAAATTTCGAATTTTTAGATTATGAATTGATTTTTGAATTGATTTGTTGTGAAATGTGGACATGCATGACATGTTGAGTTTGAATGTTGACTTGAATGTAATATTTTGATGTTATTGTGGATTTGTTGCCTATTATTAATGTGAGTTTTAATGGGAAATTTTGGTTTATTTTTTATGTAATATTTTTGCATTGTTAGGTGTATACTTACTCTATAAGATTTGCTTAAATACGATAGTTTTTAATATGTTCGTATGTGTATGAAATGATTGATTTGGGTGTATAAAGTGTGTATATTAATGTGTACTCATGAAAGCTTGACATGTATTGTTATTAGAATATGTATTGTTATATTAACTAATATCCTTTTTCTTTTTTGTAGGCATGAAGGTGTCAGCGGATAATGGGCTAAGTGATCGTTCTATCCTGACATTGCAGGCCTTGCACAGGAGTGGGGATGTGTGGCTTGGCCTCGATGTTCAGGTGGATAGGTGATGTGAGCACCTACGTGGTTTGTTGAATGTGCGGGTGGATGACATAGTACTTGCACATGTTCGTGCTGCGGGTTTTTATGGTCTGCATAGATTGGTGACTACTGTCCCGCTCGATAGAGCGCTACTCACTGCTCTTCTTGAGCGTTAGAGGCAGGAGACACACACATTTCACCTCCCTGTTGGTGAGGTGACAGTGACCTTGAGAGATGTTGCTGTACTAACTGGGTTACAGGTCGATGGGAGAGTTGTTACTGATACTGCTTGTCGACGATGGGTTGATGAGTGTGAGCGTTTGTTGGATGTTCGCCCCATTCTTCAGGCTAACCTTCAGGGGTCATCTCTGAGGATGCCATGGCTGAGGGAGCATTTCGTTGTTCTTCATGCGGACGCTGATGGGGTGATGATCCAGCAGCATGCACGAGCATATAGTTTGATGATGGGAGCTTCCATTTTCGCCGACAAGGGCAGAAATGAGGTTCAGGTGCTGCACTTGCATATGCTAGAGAGGTTTGATGCATCAGCATAGTTCAGTTGGGGTAGTGCCACACTGGCTTATCTCTGCAGACAGCTGTGTCGTGGCTGCCATAGAGGGAGCACGGAGGTTGGAGGATTTTTGCTTCTCCTCCAGATTTGGTCATGGCAGTACATCCACATTGGGCATCTCATTGTAGTGGCATACCATGGCATTGATGGACACCAACTGCCTAATGAGCCCTCGCGTCTCCTAAGACCACATCATGTACGGGGCGAGGACCCTCTAGGCCGTCGGTATGTTTTCAATCGTTTGAATTTATGTTATTGTATGTTGAATATAAATATATTAATAATATTCATATTAATATATGCTACATGAATGGTTAGGTGGCTATTTGCTGATCTATGTCGCACATGATCGGCTTCTGGGATCGATGTGTACAGGGATGCGTTTGATCGGATGTTTGAGGATCAGGTATGGTGTGCGTAATATAACATTAACTATAATATGTATAGCAGAAACACTAATTTTGTATCTTTATGAAACAGATTACATGGATGACGTATACAACTAAGATGTTTGCAGAGTTGCCCGCCGCTGGATGAGACCACTCTCACGTATGGTGAGCACGTGTGCCGTTGATGTGTTTTGACATTGTTGAGCTTCATTTGCCTGATCGTGTATTGTGACAGTTTGGGTATGAGCAGGTCATTCCAGCACCTATCGACACATATGTAGACCTTCATAGGTTGGATAGGCGTGGGAAGCATACGGAAGATTGGACACTCAGACATGTCCGATATGTCACTATGTGGGAGAGGCGAGCTGAGCTTGTTGTGACTGGGACACCAACATTAGTCCCATCCGTTTTGGGAGACTACATGGGATGGTATTACAGCATCACTCGTTTGTTTGTGTCTCCTTCGTTCAGACTCCCTACTCACCATTATCAGCCCATTTCCTTGGCTTTGCATATGAGAGTGAGTATATTACTAATTACTAAAGTAAGTCATTTTCCTTATTTAACACTTTTATTTATTTCTAACTAATTGTATTTGTGTTTCATATTCCAGACACGAGCTTTGCAACGTATACATCAGCGGGCTACTGCCACAATGAGTGATACGCATGACGTGGACATGTACGGTCAGGCTTTGACAGGCATCGCCTCGTGTGTTCAGATGTGTTGGGGCGAGTTGACTACGGTCATCTTATACATATGCCCCTATCTCAGGATATGCCATCAACATCTAGTGCAGCAGTGACTTCATCATCCCAGACTCAACATGAGAGAGAGGTTCTTCAACCACGCCAGCGGCGTAGACGTAGGCAGCAACAACAACATCTCCATGACCAAGACGATCAAGAAGACCATGAGAACTTGTAGTTTGTCTTTTGTATTGGAGTTTTTCTTGTACACTAGATGGTGTAGGAAGAATTGACGTGTTTCATTTTGTAAACTCTTTTATGATGTGTTGATGTGTTCGATTATGAATATTAGATGACTACTGTGTTATGAATATTGGATTATTGTAATGTTTTGTATCTGGTCTGTAACTCCTAAATAGGAGAAAGGAGACCTTGTTTATAGTTAGGGGTAAGTCGCCAAATGGTTGGACGACTTATAAGTCGTCAAACCGGATGACGACTTATAAGTCGCCCAACCGGATGACAACTTATAAGTTATAAGTCGCCCAAGCGTTTGGCGACTTACCCCGACCATGGTTAAACCCAACAGTAGATCGGTAAATACTTTTAAGTTTTAACTCAACATTATTTTCGTAATTAATTAATTATCATTAATTCGAAAAAAAACTCGAGAATAGTAGTACTGTAGGAGATTAGGGTTTTATAGAGATAACTTAAAGGGTATATTTGTCCAACAAATTTATTTATTTATTTATTTATTTATTACAGATTTCAATGAAATATTATGAATTTTAATATTAATTTGGTAAAAAAAACTGGTTAGAGCATAGATGGAAACTCATTAAGTTTTAGTCAGGATAATCATCTCTTTATATTATTGTACAACTTAATTAGTTTATCCATTTGTATATGTTAGATTAACTTGTTTATGTAGTATAACCTACGATTCCATATCAGTTGTCTCGCTCGCGTTATTCTATACTTAACTACTTGGAAACCCTAGATGGCTAGATTATATTTTTTCATACACAATCTCTATTAATTAATCATCTCCTTCCCCACTCTCAATCTCCCTAATTTTTTATTTGTTGGGTCGGTAATCCATCAAATATTGTGGATTAAGAATACAAATTCTTTCTTTCTTATCCTTAAAGCTAAAAACTAAGAAGTGGTTGAAATATTATCCTCATGAGAGAGTATATCATTATATGGTTTCAAACTTTCAATTTAATAAAATGAAATACAAGACTACAAGAGTAGCAGACTGGCAGGTAATACGGAGTATAATGCCCTGCATTTTAGTTTATTAGGCTGTCTGATTTGACTAGAAATATAGTTTAATTTCATTCTCCGCATAAACATGGTCAAATTGGCACCAGTGGTCTAGTGGTAGAATAGTACCCTGCCACGGTACAGACCCGGGTTCGATTCCCGGCTGGTGCAGTGTTTTCTTTTGCGCGTCATTGAACAAGTTTAGAGCAAAACCCGTATTTTTTTAGAAATGCACTTAGTTTAAACTATGATTAAAAGTATTAGTAAGCAAAGTTACTTTTTTTGTAAAATTAAGCCAATTTACTTTACTCACCTTAAAAGTTACTTATAATAAAATAACACATTTACGATTAAAATAAATTATATACAAAAAATTATTTTTTAAGTGTTGTGACTATAGTTCTCTCACAGAAAATGCTGTAACTATAATAATAATTTTACTCAAAGTAACCCATGTTTAATATTTATATGTAAGTGATCATAATACTCTAGTGACTTTTAATCATATTTTAGTAAATAAATTTCATTAATTCATTTCATTAATATTTTTGAAAAAATGACATGACTTATTACTTATGCATCTTAATTCATAAGTAATAAGTAACTATAATGATTACTCCTAGGACTCATAATTTTTCATTTCATTTTGTTCAAATTTAGTTTATTGTAACCGGAGGGCCAAAATGTTTTTTAGTTCTTTTTCCCAATTTTGTTTTCCCATTTCACTATGAAGAACAACAGATTTATTTTTCGTTCATTATTTCCTTTTTCAATTTAGAGTGCAATTAATGTTTAGTCCTACTAGAGGCGAGTCAATCAATATTATATTATTTCTGAAAAAAAATCTGGAAAATGCTATGTTATACAGTACTACATACTTCTATCATGAGCAATTTCTTCTTTCTTATTTATTGACGTCCAATGTCTATTTTTGTATTTCTCTTCATTTTTCTTCAACTCATTTTTTGTTCTTTTTCAATACTCACATACATCTTTTAACTCCCACCATGCCATGGATCACAAAATACTCATCTTGAACGTTTTTTACCCATATTGTACGCTAAGTTTCTATCTGGAGTTTTTGGGGCTCGAATATTGTACGTGATGAGTAATCTCCTTGATGTTCTCCTCAACGCACTCTTCTCTTTTCCAGAATTTTAGCCTTTAGTTTCTTTAGTTTTGTAACGGTCTAGGGCAAGATTGTCACGATCTATGGTGTTTCCTTCCGCGCGTATGTTTTACACTAACTAATCACTTTTTCATCAACCAATTTACTAATAGGAATATTCATGTAAAAAGACTTAAAAGCCGTTTGGCAACCCTCATTTTCGTCTTATCAGGCTTATCAGTCAACTTTTTATCAAACACGTAAATTTTGCTTTCGCGCGCTGAATTGTGTAATAAGCCGAAAAAGTAAGGTTGAAGTTACTTTTCTGGCTGTATTGGCTGAAGTTACTGTATATGATCATTTTAGCTATTTTCACATGTATTTTTTTCTTTATTTTATTAATAAAATATATTTTAAAAATATTTTTTTTCTTGTATCAGCAGAATCAGCCAATGCAGCCACTTCAGCCAGAACTTTATAAATTTCAGCAGAATCAGCCAAAACAGCCGATTTTCGTGCTACCAAACGGGGTTTTAATGTGGATGGATGTTTGAAAAATGATGTTTCGGTCAAAAAATAACGGTTCGACCCCTTTTGACGTTTTCAATAAGTGAAAAAGTTGTTTAGTAAATAATTTTTTCGCCCCAACATTTTTGAACGGAATCGCTGAAATGAAAACACCGACAATATGAGGGCCCGTTTACTAATAGAAATATTTTCCAATTTTTCAGAAAACTGGAAAACTAGAAAACAGAAAACAGGAAACGTGCTTACCAAAGAAAATTGTTGGAAAACTAGAGAAAGGAAAACAGAACAACGCGTTTACCAAACCGTTTTCCAAAATGAAAAAATGAGACATCTCTCTCTTTTCCTTAACGATTTGGAAAACGCAGATGCTACAGACCGCTACAATGAATTTGCATACTTACACCTAGTGGTGGGTCCGGTCTCGCTCCGATGTCGATTCCATTATAGTACCTCCATCCTCGTACTTTACCTTTTACCCCTACCCTACCCTACCCTACCCACCCAACCCCCACCCCGCATACCCCTTTTCCCCACAATGACCCACCCCCACCCCCTACCACATGCCCCTACCTCGGTCCCACCCTGGTCCACCCTACTGCCACCCCCGACCTACCTTACCCCTACCTTACCCCTTCCCACATGCCCCCTACCTCGCCCCCCCACCCTCGTACCGCCATCCTACCCTCACTCTACTACAATCCTACCCCCACCCTTGTACCGCCATCCTACCCCCACCCTACCCCTACCCCTACCTCGCCCCCACCTTACCGCCATCCTATCCCAACTCCCTACCCATACCTTACCCCAACCCCAACCCTACTCACTACCCCCACCCTTACCCCTAACCACCGCCCTAACCCACCTACTACCCCACCCAACTCCGTACCCCTAGACCTTACCACCCCACCCCACCCCCACCCCCACCCCACCCATACCTTCCTTCCATACCCCGACCCATACGAGTAGGTATGGGTGGGTATGAAGGGTTTTAGGGGAGTATGGGTAGAGTGTAAGATCGTGGTAAGGGTAGAGGTAGGGGTCAAGGGCGTGGGATTAGGTGTAGGGTGGGTGTACGAGGTATAGGGGCAGGGTAGGGGTGAGTAGTATGGGTACACGTACGAGGTGATCGATCCCACATATTATATTATATATTTGTGTTCATGAATGTTTGTATGTCTATATATGTATAGGGTTATTTTGGATATTTTAATGTTAAACGATGTTGTAAACCTTTTGAAGTAAACACGATCTCATAACATTGCTTATTTTATGTGTCGCTTATTAACGTGAGTCTTAATAAGCACAATTTAGTAACACGTGAAGTAAACGTGACAGTCTTCTGGATGATCACATAAATGAGTGAAACAATTGATGAACATGTTTCCAGATTTGAAAATGGAAAACTAGAAAATAGAAACAGAAAATTGGAGATAGAGAAACTGAAAATAAAAACAGAAAATTGGAGAATGAAAAACAGAAGTAGAAAACAGGAAAGTATCCCCGTTAGTAAACAGGGCCTGAGAGTTTTGGGTTAACGTTTTGAAATACGACGTTCCCTACTAATTGTTATGTTCAAACAGCTGAATTACCAAACATCTTCTGATAACTCGTCATCTTATTCTGCTAATTAAACTCGCTCACTAAATCTGCTATTAATACCACCACGTTAAAATAAGTCAATACTCGCTAACGGCTAAATGTGAAAGCACACCCTATCTACGTAGAGAAATGCTGCGCTATAGGTACCCCCAAAATGGGGTACTCATTCTTACCCAGATCTAATGTGTGGTCATAAATTGTGAAACACATTTAAGTAATGTGTCCCACTTAAATGTGTTGCCCAAGTTATGACCACACATTAGGGCGGACTAAGAATGAGTACCCCATTTTGGGGTACCTTTATCATTTCTCATCTACGTAATACTTCCATACAAACCGAGCAAACACTCAAGCGTGCATAATCGACCCGGCCCAATAGTGGAAATGCTTGGAAACCCAATTCGTCTCTTCCCTCTCCAGGCTATCAAAATCTCGAATTCCAAATTTGAACTAAACTGATTATTCCTCAGCAGCCAGCCAACTATTAAACAAAATAAGAAGAAGGAGAAATGTTGCTGGCCGTGTTAATTGCCAACTCCGAGGGAAACATTCTTGTTGAACGGTAACCTCTAATGGACATTGTTATATGCGTTTTATTGTATTGAGGTCATTAGCAGTGATTTTTATCACAATTTAATCAATCTAGTTTTTTTTACTGTATTACATTTATATGATCTGATTATATAGATATTGAGCTTAGAAATATGTTAGATCAAACGGACGAAATAGAAATTAAAGGTCTACTGTATCAATTTCTAAATATCTGTGTTGAATATTCTAGATCAAGGACTGAGCTTTTTGTAGTACCTCTTGTAGTTAGTAAATGAATCCGGCTATTTTTTTAATTGAATGTTAGTATATGTAAATTTGTAAAGATGTATGATACTAGTTGTGATTTGTGAATTGTGATGACTCTTTTATCATTTGGTACATTATATTGTTATAAGCAAAACAGTGTCTTCTAATGAAGAACTATATCATATGTACACATTTATGGAAAAATAATTGTTCTAGCTGCGGAGAGAGCTTTGGGAGAAACTTATAGATACTGTAAGGGTTCGTTTGGAACCCCGAAAATGCTAGTAAAACCATTACACTGTAACTTAGAGGAGACATTTGGAAGGATTTTTTATATGTATGAAAGTTAAAGAACTGGTTTAAAATCAATAAATCAAGTATGTATATGTTGTAGAACTCATTTTATCGATATGATCTATCATATTAAGGGTAAGAAACAAAGTAGATGTTAAATTTTAGTTATTATTTAAAACAATAAAGTATTACTTTTTTCCCTTTTCCGGTCATTTTCTGTGTTCCAAACATCGCCTTGTTTTTTTCCAAACATAGCCTAAAGGAGATGCTTCATGTTTCTTAATGGGAACTATATAAATCACTCTTGGTGTTCTACTGATACTTACTTCCAGGTTTAATGGTGTGCCAGCAGAAGAGCGTTTGCATTGGCGGTCTTTCCTAGTCAAGCTTGGAGCAGATAATCTTAAAGGCGCAAAGAATGAAGAACTTCTTGTTGCTTGTCACAAGTATTTCTTCTCTTACTCTTTGTTTACCTCATTAGAAATGCTCCAGTGACCTGATCAATGATAACTTAGCTAAAATTTACTGATTAACTGTATTAAAGTAGGAGGTAAATTTGTACCAATTGAAATGATACCTAAAGGCTTCTTCCATGGTTGGTTAAAGTATTTCAACCCACACTATTCCCCTGTTTTGAGTACTCATCAATTACGCTTAAGGCAATTGACTTTCATCCATGTCTACTTGTAAATTTATTTCTCAGCTGCTATGTTGTGTTCATGCCATATCATTATATATAATCTATTATACATAGTAATAAACTATCGCAGTAACTTATTTCTGTTAGAGTTCTCCCCCCTATAATGTTTAGGAGGGAGGTTTAGGAGGGAAGGGAAGAGAGTGTTAGATTAAAAAAATTGAGAATTATATATGGCTTTTTTTAACAAATAAATTACAAGAATGTTGAGTGTACAGTGTTTATACTGATTTATCAATTTGTATCTTTTATTTTGAAAAATTATCAAGTTAAGCAATGTTTTCTTAAAATAAAGAACAACATATTTCTTCTCTTCTCCTCAGAACCCCACATCCCAAATTTACATCAGGATTTATAGGATATCCCAAAGTACAGATCATAAAAGATGAATAGTAGTTGTTATAAATATGGCACCTATTCAACTTTTCACTTTAAAATACACAAGATTAAATTTCATGAGTATAGGAGACAAATATGATCTACTGTTGTGCCTTCTTCTTCTTTATGGAGAGAAAACTATTGTCTTTGTGGATTTTCTAAGTTCTCTCATCTCTGCATCTTTTTATCTACATGGGCAGATCTGTTTATATTGTGTACACAGTGCTTGGAGATGTCAGCATCTATGTCGTTGGCAAGGATGAGTATGATGAACTTGCATGTGAGTATAATATATTTGCCTAATTTGGGAGGAAAGACACATTTCAGGCTCTATAAGTTTTTTTTTTGCATTTCAAGGAATATTCCCATGGTATTTTGGGAGTAAGGCTTGGATGTTGTTGTTGTTGCAAGGAATATTCGCATGGTATTTTTTTGCTTGCTTAGAGCTTTGCCTGTCTTGCGTGGAAAATATAAAGCTTGAGATTATGAACAATTAGCTGGGTGATTGGATTAATACTTTGAGATTCAAAGAAGATATGTGTGATAATGTCTATGCTAATGTATCTTTTCCTATATTAGTGTTTGGGTGTACTAATGTTCCATAAAATGTGATTAAATAGCTAGTACTCTCTCCGGCTCACACAATAAGGGTGTGTTTGGTTCAGGGGAGGGCAGGGAAAGAAGTTTTTTGTGTTGCTCTGTTGTATTGATTTTGCTGGAAGGGAGGGAAGGGGTTTTGAAGTGTTCATTTGGATCCTCTAGAAAGAAACCCCCCAATTTTGAAGGAGAGGAAAATAATGAGGGAGAACCTTGGCTCCTCCCTTTACAAAAGTTATTAACATAATGAGGGTAGGTAAGCTATCCATCTCCCTTCCATTAGTCCATTATCATACCTCCAAACCAAAAGCACCTTCATGGCCTCATTTTCGTTTTGGAGGAAAACTTATATTTCGCATTATAGTACCAAGAGAATTCTTAATGCTATTTTTTCATTTCCCCTCTTTATTCATCATAATATTTGATTATTGTTGTCAATACAGAGTGCTACCCGAGGGGTAATATTGTCAATTTTATCTCCATAAAAATGACACTTATTGTGACATGGAGGGAGTATGATTTAGTCTAGCAAGATCCTTGGCCTATTTGTATTTCATATTGGTTATTGCACCTTAAAAATTCTTATTGGCCCTAATCATTCAATCTTTTTTTACTTTATCTCAAGTGTCTGAAGCAATCTTTGTCATAACATCAAGCATTAAGGATGTCTGTGCGAAACCTCCATCAGAGCGCCTTTTCTTGGACAAGTATGGAAAGATTTGTCTGTGTCTGGATGAAATTGTATGTAAGGTAAGAAAAAACCCTTATCAGATTTGTCTTTGTAAATGTTGTGGCACTCCGAAGTTAAGTTAGACGGCCACTCACAAGTTTGTGCGTGATGACATTTTTAATGAAATTTGAAATATACTCCCTCCGTCCCATAAAATGAAAATGTATATTAAGGTGGTGAGAGTAAAGTGAAAATGTATGGTTGTAGTTGTGTAAGAAAAAGGTAAAATGAATGTGAGCCACACAAATTGTCCAAAAAAGGTAAGTGAGAAGAATTTTTTGGGACGGCCCAAAAAGGAAAATTGGAAGAATTTTATGGGACGGAGGGAGTATATTTTATCAATATGTTTTTTTTGCACGAAAAAATATAAAGGATATACTATTGCCTTTGATCCCTCATTAAATGGGATGAAGGAGCAAGATGGTATGATAATGGTCATGTTTCTGTCGTAGTCTCTTGTTTGCATGTTGGCTTTTTGAACTACCAATTTTGCAATAGGACTTGACTATACCAACTAAATACGGAGTATATTTTTCCGTTATTGCCTCATTATAATGTTTATGCAAGTCTAGAGAACATTTGATGATGACAATTGGAAAATTTGATCCTATCTTATTACTATTCCTCCTTTAAAGCTTTGCCACCATTTGTTTTCTTTTTTTTTTTGCATGAATTTTTAGCTTCAAGTTACTTATACGATTAATTGACATTATAAACTTCACCCCACCGACTCCGACATAGTTGAGACTGAGGTGCAATATGTTGGTACTTGGTAGTGATGACAATGATGATAATGATGACTGGAAACTCTAAGTACACTGTACACCCTCCTCGGGACAAAATGACCAGTCATTTGACATTTAGTCCTATGTACATAGGATCTGCTTGGATGGGAGGTGATGGGGGATGGGCTTTGGAAGGCTCAGTTTATAACTTGATAAGTCAAATGTTTCTGGGTCCCCTTCCATCTAATTAGACTTTTTGGTAGCACTGGACCAAAGACCAGACCAGTATCTGTTGTTTCTTTTTTAAAATAAGCCAAAACCCTGGAAGCGCAGCAGAACTGGCCCGGGTTGAGCGCTTCCCTAATGACTTAAGAGGTAGGCCATTTTCCACTGAATGTAGTTAATATGGTCATGCCTGATCACTTTAATGTTATGTGGTTAGTTGTCGATCATTTTTCAATAGTAAACTCTTTCCCTCTGTCTCTCTCTACACACACACACACACTTACATATATAAATCTTTGTTTGGGTACTCAGGGGCTGCTGGAGAACACCGAAAAAGAAAGAATTAAACGACTTGTAAGGATGAAGCCTCCTGTTGAGTTCTAAGTGAGATACCATTGTCTACTACTTTTGTTCCGGACTTACTATCAACATGTGCCATTTAAAATGTTCATCTCCAAGTAAAATGTTCTAAATAGTATATTGAGAAACGCTAAAAAGATATGTTGTATGATTTACATTAAATAATCAAGACAAATCATGTAAATTTATTTGTTTTCTTACATTTGACATGTGAAATGTTATATGTAGTACTTTGCACATTAACTAAACCCCCCTTTGTAAAACATATAAATCCTTCATTACTAAATGGTTTACTTATAGTAAATGGAAAAGACCTATAGGTGGACCTAGTACCAGTTCTTGGGGTGTTTATAAGACCAGGCAGGAACTTGACGTAAAAGACCGCAACTGGGATTGGTACTCAGAATCTGTCCAGCCTAGATACACTTCCGATTTACATGGAGGTACATTTTTCATCTTATATTATTCATATTATGAATGTTGTATAATATAATATAATAATCCTTCCTTTTATAGTTGTATTTATTACGTACGGAGTATTACTTTTTGGGAAGTTATTATTATTTGTGACAGAGTATGTTTTACCAATTTGGAAAGTTTACTCTACTTTTATCCTTAGTTTACATGAATATCATTATTTTATCATCTTTTATTGATTACTTTTCTACCTTTTCACCATTTTTCGTCTTATTATTCACTAACCATACAGTCATACTATTTTCATCTTAACGTGAAAACTCTATAGTAATGAAGAAATAAACTTTAGTATCAGATTGATTGCTTCTATTGTGACAAAAATAACCATCACAACAAATGACTCTACATTCTTCAATCAGGGAAAAAAGACACGTGTCTCGGCTTGATCATCCGCCGTAAATGCCCTGCAATCGTTCCCCATCCATTGATAAGGAAATATGTGTAATATTGTTCTTGATTTCACCAGAAACCATAAATAAATAAATTTACCTCCTCCTATCTTTCCTCCCTGTTGTGACAAAAAAATACTCTACATTCTTCATTAAGGGAAAAAAGACACATCTCTTGGCTTGATTATCCACCTCAAATGGCCTGTAGGCGTTCCCCATCCATTGATAAGGAGCCATGTTTAATATTGTTCTTGGTTTTACCAGAAACCATTTGCGGGTCGGGACCGGGTAGGGCCTTGGGCGGTACTGGGTTTGGGAGTTGGATGCCCGGTACCGGCCCGGGTAGGTTCCGGGCCCGGGTCGGTACACACACACACACACACACATATATATATATAGACAAATGTTCATGTCATGAATTCCGGATAGGAACCGCCGTCGGGGACGGCGGTTCCTATCCGGAATTCCCAAAAGTTTGGCCGCCTTCCTTGTGGAATTTTTTGATGAATTTTTTATGGCATGTTCTTCATCAAGTCTAGTTTATCCACAAAAAAATTCAGCTAAAAACTCAATCTGGAAGGTCGTCAAATGATTTTTACAAGTTAACTGCATTTTATATGTATTTTCCGGCGCAGTTATCTTGTAAAAATCATTTGACGACCTTCACGATTGAGTTTTTAGTTGATTTTTTTGTGGATAAACTAGACATGATGAAGAACATGCCATAAATATTTCATCAAAAAACTCCACCGGGAAGGTCCCCAAAAGCCGTCGTCCGGACGGCGGTTCCGGTCAGGAATTCCTGACCGGAACACTACTCTCTCTCTCTCTCTCTCTATATATATATATATATATATATATATATATTTAAATTTTGTTTTTCTTATTTATTCCTACCCCACCCCAAACCACCCAACCCACCTACCACCCAATCCATTCGAAAAAATTAAAAAAAAAACCCTGCCCGGCCTGGTCCCGGGCCGGTCAGGCCGATTCCAAGACAAGTGCAGCCCGTGACCCCCCCCCCCCCCCCCGGGTCGGGCCCAAGCCCCGGTCCTGATCAACCGGGCCGGTACTGCATAGTGGTGGTCCAGTTCCGGTACGGGGCCGGTCCGACCGGTCCCGGTCCATCCTTAAACTCCTATCTTGTGCACGGTGATGGTTTGAAAGAGGGGTTTGTCACCACAATGCGAGGGGAAAAGTAGAGCACATCCGCGATTGGTGCAAAGTTTAGCATGAAATGCTTGTCCCTAACCTTAAAAAGTTATAAAGATGGATGGTACTTGGGGATTAACAAGGTAGCTCTCCAAAGTTGGTCAAAACAAAAATTACTTCCAGACGCTTCAATGGTAATCTTCAATGTTAACATCTCCATTTTAGTCAAAATCAAATAGAGTAGGGTTTCATCATCGCTACTACTTAGTCCTTACATATTTTAAAGTTGAATTACATTTTTTAAAGTATTCACACATACCACACTCAAGTACCCAATTACCATTGTCGAAATCTGGAAGCCAAACACATACTCAGGGAGTCAGGGGAGGTCCCCAGCATGCAGGGCCCGCACTAACTAAAAAAAAAACTTAATTATTAGCAGAAAAATATTCGTGTAAAACTTTATCTGATTTTTTTTATATCGGCTCAGCTTATCCTAGGTTACACCTAGAGATGGATCGGGCCTGGGCTGCCTGACCCGCTACTGTGCGGGCTTGGACCAGCCCGGTTGGGGATTGGGCCGGGCCGGGTACGAGCCCACAATTTATTGATCCGGCCTGGTTTGGGCTTTTTTTTGTTTTTTCAATTTTTTTTTGTTTTCCCTGGGTAGGGTTGGGTGTTTCGGCCTTCGGGGGGGGGGGGGGGGGGGGGGTCGGGGGTTAATTAGAAAAGCCAAAAAAAAACATTGAATCGGAACGGCCTGACCCGGGCCGGTTCCGGGCCTCACTTCCCCCACAAAAAGCCTGGTCAGGCCCATCCTGGAACCGGTCCATCGCTAGTTACACCCCTTCATATACTACAAACTAATTAATAGTCTCTTCCGTTCTACAAACAAGTTCTTACTTTGATTTATACTCCCTTCGTCTCATTTTACTTAGCCAAACTTGACTTTTCAAGTCAATGACGTCTAACTTTGACCGATTATATGTTTATATAGAGAAAATATTAATAATATGAAAATGATATTAAAATGTTCTTTGTTAAAAAATACTATCATAAAAGTATAAAATTATTAAATTTTGAATAAATATATTAGTTTAAATAATTGGTCAAAGATTACCACATTTGACTGGAAAAGTGAAAGATGACTAAGTAAATTGGGATGGAGGGAGTATTTTATACATATATTTATATAAATTACAATTTTATTTTGTCAAATGAAATAAAAAGTAGACAAAAGTAAGGGTGATCGTAACATTTTATATTAAAATAAATCTTTTTAATAAAAAACTTCATTTTGAATACTACAAATAATAATTAATAACATGTAATAAACATATGCTCCGTATGATATATCTATAAATATACTTCTTTTTGAAGGAATATATATACACAATTAAACAACAAATGATTGAAATTTGAAATGAATTATGAGTGAATAATTAATTTCTTTTTTATGGAGTACTCCCTCCGCGGCTCCGCCCCATTAGAAGGTTCTCATTCACTTCTCAAGAAATAATTAACAATCTTAAGTGACAAATTAATAATTAAATATTAAAAATAATACATTGATAACATCACAGTTATCAATATTAACTACATTATAATATATACTTATTAAAAGTATTTCTTAAAATATACTAGAAGTACTTTATTTAATTATTGCCTAAATAATCATACCGTTTCGGGGAACATTCCAACTGGACACAAAAAGTATTAATTATGAGAGGCCGGAAAAGAAGGGAACGTTTGTGGCGGGTAACCAAGAGTCACCGTTGATGAGTTCTCCCACGGTGAATTTAGAAGCCTCGGCGGGGTCATTGATGACATGATACCCAGCCCAATTGACTCTTTGGGCCGTTGACGCCCCCGGCCCATAGTTCAAATACTCGCCGTAGTATAAAGTGTTTAGCGGGGCCAGCCCCGGCCACGCTGACCAGCCGGCCGGATCAATCAAGCTATCCAAGAACGTCTCCATGAAGACGGCCGTCGAATAATTGCTCCACGGCCGTCCGAGGTATGTCCTCACGGACGCCTCGGAGCCCGTCAGATCCGGTGCCGCCGTGACTGTGCAGTTGTGGAAGGATACTCCGCCTCCGACTATGCTTGCGCCGTCGTCCCGGCGTCCGTCAGCGGTGATGGTGTTGGTGTTTCCCGGCGAGGGGTTCCGCACAAAAATGTTGCAGTTCTGGAAGACCGCCGCGCCGAAGCCGAAGATGAAGTCAGCGGTGCCGTAGATGTCGCATTCTCGGTAGAATTGATGGTCGGAGCGGTAGTAGAGAGTGTCTTGATAGCCTTCGAAGCTGCATTGATAGAAGACCGCAAAATCAGAGCTGCACCGGACCGCCACGGCTTGTCCGTTTCCAACTCCGGCGGTGTTTCTGAATGTTATGCCTCGTGCAATGAATCCCGATCCCTCCACGGCTCAAATATATAAAAATTGTGTGAAAATGCTTATCAGCAGAGAGATTTGGTTTTCTAAAAAAAACACGGTACCCAATTTTTACCGTATCATTTTATCCATTTTCATGGATAATAATATTTTAGTTAATTATACTAATTATTTCTTTATTTTATTTTATTGATAAAATATAAGTAGTACTTCATACACTGTACTCACGTATTTTTTCCCCATAATTGAACAGTAGTTGAAAATTTGTAGGTAAAATAGTTCAGTTTCAATAATGACCGGAGTGGTAAGAGCCTTACCACTTCGGCCATTATTCAAAGCAACTGATCTAATAGATAATGTATAATCAAGGATAAAATATACTACGTATTCAAATGGTAATGATTTGACAAAGTTTATCATTACTAATGTGTGTGTTTAAACATACGTAAATCAACAAGTTTCCGTCCCGACTTTCAACTTTTTTACTAAATCATAAATTTTGATTTAATGCATTGAAATATGTGATAATTAAAATAATAAGGTTGAAGTTATTCAATTTTTACTAAATTAGTTGAAATTGCTGAAAAAGATTATTAATTCTTTGCTTGATCAATAAAATAAAGAGTATATTGTAAGTATAATAGTTTCACAATTCCACAAAAACTTCACCAATTTCAACAGATCGAGCTGATTCAACGTGTTTTAGTGTTGTCAAATAAACTCTAATTATTATTGTTGTTGTACGGTGTTGATGTTTTTGTTGTTGTTATTGTTATTGTTAATATTAATAATTTAATATTATCATCACAGTCATTATTATTATCCGTGATGGATCTTCCAA